GGGGGCTACGCGCCTCTCCATGTGCACCATGAGCCAAAAGTAGCAGGACTGAAAAGAAAAGACGGACAATATTCTTTTGTTTTCAAATGTAAATTAAGCTCTCCTGAAAGAAACTAACATGCGTAATGTTAGCGGCGTGCGTAACGTAATTGTTCAATAAGTGTGCACCGCCTCGGCTGTACACATTGTTCATATCGCTCACGTAGATTTTTCAAAAAATATCTTAACAGTGGTAGCTACAGACGACTGCAAGAGGAAGAATATTTTCTAATGTAATTCAGGCACGGTTCTTGATTGACCTTCGCTGCTGAAGCCGCACTCTACTTTAACATTTCCCACAAGTAGGAATGTGGTGGCGTAAGATCGTGGGGAGCGAGCCCTGTAGGGGAAGTGAGACCGGTATGGGAAGTCATTGAAGTGAGACGGGTATGGGAAGTTAATCAAGTGAGACGGGTATGGGAAGTCAGTGAAGTGAGACCGGTATGGGAAGTCAGGGAAGTGAGACCGGTATGGGAAGTCAGTGAAGTGAGACGGGTATGGGAAGTCAGGGAAGTGAGATGTCTATGGGAAATCATTGAAGTGAGACGGGTATGGGATGTCATTTCCCCGTGAAATGGTCCGTCCAGGAATTTTTTTTCTGCAGAATGTCGATAGATTCTTGAGCAGTATGGCTGGTCACCCAGTTGATATTACTGTCTGTTCATGTGACGATTGATACCACCGTCTGTTCATATGAACGTCGATACCACTGTCTGTTCATGTGAAGGTTGATGCCACTGTCTGTTCATGTGAAGGTTGATACCACTGTCTGTTCATGTGAAGGTTGATACCACTGTCTATTCATGTGACGGTACATACCACTGTCTGTTAATGTGGAGGTTCCTTGCAATGACAGAACCTTCTCAAATCCTGTATAAATGATTTGATCACCATGCTCCCGTAGCACCATGCCCCTGTTGAACCATGTCCCGTAGCACCATGCCCGTAGCACAATGCTCCTGTAGCACCATGCCTTTGCTCCTGCACAACCATATACCCCGTAGCACCATGCCCCTGTAGTCATGCCACTGTAGCGCCATGCCCCGTATCACCATGCCCCTGTAGCACCATGCCCCTGTAGCACCATGCCACTGTAGCGCCATGCCCCGTAGCACCATGCCCCCGTAGCACCATGCCCCTGTAGCACCATTCCCCCTGTAGCCATGCCACNCATGCCCCGTAGCAACATGCCCCTGTAGCACCATTCCCCCTGTAGCCATGCCCCGTAGCACCATGCCCCTGTAGCACCATGCCCCGTAGCACCATGACCCTGTAGCACCATGCCCCGTAGCACCATGGTGGGGTATAACTGAAATTAGGGAATCGAAAAAAAATATGATTTTATTTTTTTCTTATCAAATCAGTGAAGCTTTTATTGGTTAAGTGCTGGTTCACAAGTGTTTCAAACGAATCAAGGGGCACGGCACATGTAAAGACACACTAAGTAAACTTGCTGGCCAGACAAACAAAATAAGCACCGCAGAGGGTGGCGGCCTTCCTCTCACTGGGTGGTGATCTCCCCTTCCCATCAGTGAGGTGGTAATCTCCCCTTCCTAACAGTGGGTGATGATCTCCCTTCCTGTCAGTGGGTCGTGATCTCCCCTTCCCATCAGTGAGGCGGTAATCTCCCCTTCCTAACAGTGGGTGATGATCTCCCTTCCTGTCAGTGGGAGGTGATCTTCCCTTCCTGTCAATGGTTGGTTATCTCCCCTTCCTGTCGGTTGGGTGGTGCTCTCCCCTTACTATCAGTGGATGGTGATCTTCCCTCCCCACCTTCCTTTTCTTGTTAGTAGGGTGGTGAACTCCCCTTCCTAACAAGCGGGTGGTGATCTCCCCTTACTTTGGACTTTCTAAAACAAAGAGGTTACAAGACAACACAGACCTAACACAAGGACTGCTAAGGGGAACGGCGTTCCTGCTTTGGAAAACGTACAGAAACGCTCCTGCTGGACTCCTGACCTGGATGTTAAACTAACTAATATTTACATGAACGACATTGACCACATCATCAAACATGCTTTTAAAGCATTGGTGTTCCATCGCATTCCCAATAGATAGACAAAGGACATCCTTCAATTTCATTCGAATGCCGCCTTTGGAAATAGTGACCCCAAAAAATCCTAACTGAACACCTCTATTTGCGCCTTTCGTTCACACCCCCCCCCCCCACCCCCCCCCCCCCCCCAACAAACGCAAACCACCCAAATGTTTAGAAATATTGAAATTTTGATGACGCAATTGTCGGTTCATTATTTTCCCTTCTTTGTGTGACGTCACGACTGCCATTTTTTTGGGGGAAGACACTAAAAAAAAATGCTATATTATGTTTTTGAAATTGTAAATACTTTCTGAAAGGGATAAGAAAAGATGAAGTGAACCTACACACGTAGTAGATAAGGGGGGAATGTCATGGAAAGGTAATGTGTATCGGTTTGACAGTAGCAGACCGATAGGTGACATCATACATAGCCTTAGAAACCTACTGATAACCGAGTATTTATTTAGTTATTTACTTACTAGTTACTAAGTACCTTAGCTGCTCGGCTGTGGTTAATGAATCTATGATTAAACTGAAGAAGACTTGTAGTTGAACCCCCGCTGAGGGCCCCTAGGCAGTAGAAATTTCGCTGCCCCCCCCCCCGCCCCAACAAATACCTCTTAGACCAGAGCCCGTCGTATGGAATCTGAAGCCAGCGCGGCTGCAGGGGCATTGGCTAATAAAAGTGCCCCAAGTCTCACAAAATACCATAGATCCAGAGCGACTCTATTTCTGATTACGAAGTGGATGGTTAAAAAAAAATTTGTTTGAGGTCTCTAAAAGTAAAAGCTGGGGGAAACTACAACAAAATAACGAATCAGCTAAAATAAAATAAAAATAAATACAAAAAACTTTTCAGTGTGAATTTTTGTGTGTGCACAAGTTAAAATAAAATAACAAAAGTAAAAAAAGAAGAAAAAAAATCAGCTGTCGAAAGTTTAGAACCATGACAAGCAGCATTTCTTCAAGATAAACTCGGCTTTTTGTAAATAAAAACATATGTAAGGACAGTGTAATTCTAGATCAATTTCAACAAACTCTTTAAAAGGTTTTTAAAACATTTCTATTGGAATGGATTATTCTAAATGCAACTCCAATAGAAATTAGTTAAGAGACTGAAGACGAGCTGGCGTTTGCGTTTGTATAAAACTGATTGGAACAAAAGTGATTTATCATTCAACCGGTGAATTGGGTCCGGTGTCGCTGTGCTGATTGAACCTTTGAAATAATATGTTCCTTTTTAATATTGACCAGAACGCTTGAAAATGAAAGGATTGAACAAACAACACTATGACGAAAGTAGTTGTTTTTTTTAATTTAAAAAAAAAAGAACTTTGCTTTTGATAGATTCGCTGCTAGTCATTAATGTAGTAATTGTTTGTTTTGATCTTAGAACTAAACATTGTGTCCCCAACCCCCCCACCCCCAAACACCACCATTTCAATGCGTTAAACACAAGTTTTCTTGTTTTTTTTTTAAAAAATGGGATCACCAAGGCTTCTTCAGGGGACACGATAGGAAATGGCTCTATGTTGATTGTCATGCACAACATCTGATGGGCCAATAGCCCCCATGTCTCGTGATGGAAGTCTTTTATCAAGGATATTTCACTTAATGCAGACAATGACCGGTGGGGCTTGAGTGTCCTTATCAAGAATAGATTTCAAGTCCTTGACCTTAACCGCAGAGATTTGATGCTCCTCTAAATTGTCTTCCTTTTATTTTGCCCCATACTTCTACCTGCTATGTTGCCCCACACTTCTACCAGCTATCTTGTCACACACTCATACCAGCGATTTTGCCCCACATTTCTATCAGCTGTGCTGCCCCACTCTTCTAGTAGCTATGTAGTCCCACACTTATACCAGCTATTTTGCCCCACACTTCTAATAGCTATGTTTCCCCACCATTCTACCAGCTATGTTGCCTCAGACATCTACCAAACATGTTTAGATGACAGAAATGTTTAGATAACAGACATTTTAGAAGCCAGCATCTTAAGATGACAGACATTTTAGATTTAAGACATGTTCAGACCTTTTTAGGTGACATACATTTTAGATGAGAGTCATGTTTAAATGACAGACACATCTAGCTGACATATATTTTGAGATGTCAGGCTTGTTTAAATGAAAACCTTGTAGATTGTACAGTGGCGTGGAAGGAAAGTTGGGGGGGGTCATTTTTCTTTGAATTTAGGGGCGTTATTTTCGGACAAGTGCAGATTTTTTTCGTGTAAAATAAAGGGACAAAGGGGGGAGGGGGCTACATTCTAGTCCCATCCTGGGCGGCACCAAACCCAGCTACTGTGTAGACATGTCAGGCAGGTTTGTTTTAAAGCAGCATGGCTTTTACTTTTACTGATCAACCCTGGCTTCTAATTTGGGAGTTCATATTTCAACGTATCTATGCATTTCAGAATAAAGCCGAAAAAGTTAACGTCACCAGATTACTCCTCTTAGTAAGTACGGTAGCCAAAGGTGACCATTTTTTTTTGCTGTTCTTGTGACCTAATCAAGTTACGTGGTTTGTTACCTCCCGTGACCCGTTAAAAAATATGTTCAATGAATGTCTCGTCAGCTTTGTTTAATGTGGGCTAAGAGCTCTTCCAACGATCGTAAAATGTTCACCCATAACAACTGAAACGAACATATCCTCCAAACAATTTTTTTTTAACATGACAATGCACTTGAAGGCTAAATCACATGCATACCAAGCTACTCACGTATACACACATTGTTTAATAATATACCTTAGTGTGAGCGTTCATTTGTTTCAAGGTCACACGTTGTCACAACGATGCGTTCTTAATTTCTCATTTCCCTCCCCCCCACAGCGTTTGTGAGCTGATGAGATGGATGTTCGCGGAGACATGTCATTTCTTCTACCAGAGCTCAGTTTTTTGCTATAAGTTCATTTTACGCCATCAAGTGCTCACTTTCATCAACATGGTGTAAGCTATAGTTAGGATTAGTTTGATTAGACTTACGTAGAGCTAGGTAGTGTGGTGTAGGATCAGCTACGACTGGTTGGACAGTTTCTTGAGTTGAGCTTACATTACACACGATTCACTAGGACGTGGTGCATTGGAGGAGGTTAGTTAGACCTAAATGGCGTTCCAGACCAGCGGTTCTCAACCTGTGTGTGTGTGTGGGGGGGGGGGGTCGAACAACCCTTACGCAGGGTTCGCCTAACACCATGGGAAAACACATATTTATGAAGTAGCAACAAAAATAATTTTATTTGTTTGGGGGGGGGGAGGGGGGGGGGGTCATCACAACATGAGGTGTGTGGGGGGGGGGGTCGAACAACCCTTACGCAGGGTTCGCCTAACACCATCGGAAAACACATATTTATGAAGTAGCAACAAAAATAATTTTATTTGTTTGGGGGGGGGGAGGGGAGGGGGGTCATCACAACATGAGGAACTGTATAAAAGGGTCGCGGCGTTAGGAAGTTTGAGAACCACTGCTCTAGAGAATCGTTAAGGCTAAGTGTTGATGATTGAAATGCATCAAATGAATGCATGTATATTGTTGTCTATTAATAAATCATTGCACGTAATCCCCATTCTTGCATTACACAGCGTCCTGTCCGTTAATCTCATCTTTATATGGGGCTTTAGGAAATGGAGGTCAAGGAAAGTTCACCATCTACCATCAACCTTGTCTGACAGAACTAGTTCATGTAATGTAAGTGTTGCGTAAAAGATCTAGTTCGTGTAATGTAAGGGTTGCATAACAGATCTAGTTCATGTAATGTAAGTCTTGCATAAGAGATCTAGTTCATGTAATGTAAGTGTTGCGTAACAGATCTAGTTCATGAAATGTAAGTGTTGCGTAACAGATCTAGTTCATGTAATGTAAGTGTTGCATAAGAGATCTAGTTCATGTAATGTAAGTGTTGCATAAGAGATCTAGTTCATGTAATGAAAGTGTTGGGTAACAGATCTAGATCATGAAATGTAAGTGTTGCGCAAACAGATCTAGTTCATGTAATGTAAGTGTTGCGTAACAGATCTAGTTCATGTAATGTAAGTGTTGCGTAACAGATCTAGTTCATGTAATGTAAGTGTTGCGTAACAGATCTAGTTCATATAATGTAGCGGTTGCATAACAGATCTAGTTCATGTAATGTAAGTGTTGAATAAAAAAAGAATGCAAACACATAAAATCCACTTTAAAAAGGGGGTGGGCAGGGTATCTCCTACGGGCAATAGTTTACCCACGGGTTAGCACATTAAATCTGTTATTTGCATTTGTTATAATAATTCATTTTTATCGGTTAATATTTAAAATGAATTGATGAAATGTCATTTTCAATTATTTTCAATTACTTCTATTTTCTTAAGTGAATTTTCACTCTCTCAAACTTGTATAAATTAGCACCATTTTAAAAATGGTAGTCAAAATTGATCTAATACCTGCTCTGTTGTTCTCTATTTTACCAGAAACTTCTCAGGAGACTGCAGAGTAAAGCATACAGTGGGGAAACCTATTTAAGTAAGTACATGTATTTTAACTCATCTTGAAACGACGATATCCTAAAAGATGTGTGACAATATAGTATGACAGTACGCGCACAGGACGTTGCTGTTACCGTCGAGGTCTCGACTTCGAACAATGTTGTTGGTGGGCATGTCCCGGGTCTAGTGATCTAAAAGCGAATTTATGTTTTAGCCCCCCATCCCTCGCCCAATCGAGGCCGTATTGTGTGCTAACCCTATCCAGGCCATGCTGTGTGCTAACCCTATCCAGGCCATTCTGTGTGCTAACCCTATCCAGGACATAATGTGTGCTACCTCCTATCCAGGCCATACTGTGTGCTAACCCTATCGAGGCCGTAATGTGTGCTACCTCCTATCCAGGACATAATGTGTGATACCTCCTATCCAGGCCATACTGTGTGCTAGCCCTATCGAGGCAGTAATGTGTGCTACCTCCTATCCAGGACATAATGTGTGCTACCTCCTATCCAGGCCATACTGTGTGCTAACCCTATCCAGGCCATGCTGTGTGCTAACCCTATCCAGGCCATGCTGTGTGCTAACCCTATCCAGGCCNCGAGGCAGTAGTGTGTGCTACCTCCTATCCGGGTCATATTGTGTGCTTCCTCCTATCCAGGCCATACTGTGTGCTACCCCTATCCAGGCCATGCTGTGTGCTAACCCTATCCAGGCCATGCTGTGTGCTAACCCTATCCAGGCCATGTTGTGTGCTAACCCTATCCAGGCCATGCTGTGTGCTAACCCTATCCAGGCCATGCTGTGTGCTAACCCTATCCAGGCCATGCTGTGTGCTAACCCTATCCAGGCCATGCTGTGTGCTAACCCTATCCAGGCCACGCTGTGCGGTAACCCTTGTCGAGGCCGTAATGTGTGCTACCTCCTATCCAGGACATAATGTGTGCTAGCCCTATCGAGGCCGTAATGTGTGCTACCTCCTATCCAGGACATAATGTGTGCTACCTCCTATCCAGGACATAATGTGTGCTAGCCCTTTCGAGGCCGTAATGTGTGCTACCTCCTATCCAGGACATAATGTGTGCTACCTCCTATCCAGGACATAATGTGTGCTAGCCCTATCGAGGCCGTAATGTGTGCTACCTCCTATCCAGGATATTATGTGTGCTACCTCCTATCCAGGACATAATGTGTGCTAGCCCTATCGAGGCAGTAATGTGTGCTACCTCCTATCCAGGACATAATGTGTGCTAGCCCTATCGAGGCCGTAATGTGTGCTACCTCCTATCCAGGACATGACATAATGTGTGCTACCTCCTATCCAGGACATAATGTGTGCTACCTCCTATCCAGGACATAATGTGTGCTACCTCCTATCCAGGACATAATATGTGCTAGCCCTATCGAGGCAGTAATGTGCGCTACCTCCTATCCAGGACATAATGTGTGCTAGCCCTATCGAGGCAGTAATGTGCGCTACCTCCTATCCAATCCACACTGTGTGCTACCTCCTATCCAGGCCATACTGTGTGCTACCCACTATCTAGGCCGTGCTGTGTGCTACCCGCTATCCAGGCCATACTGTGTGCTATCCACTATCCAGACCATACTGTGTGCTACCCACTGTCCAGGCGTGCTGTGTGCTACCTCCTAAACCATCTAAACACCTACTAAGTTTGGGGGGGGGGTTAAGGAGGCGAATAAAAATATCATGTAAAAAAACATATCCACATATTGAAGGCCTTGTATTACTTTTAGCTGTTAACCTGCCTGTGGCGACACCGCATTAATATTTGAGGACTCTGCGCAACTCTGGACGTGGACAGGTAGGGCACCATGCGACTGAGCTTAGTGTTGATCATGACAGCAGTAGAAAAAAAAAGGGGGGGGGCCGGACACATGTATCAAACCGTCCCAGTGAAAGTGTTTGCATGAAAGACATCTTCATCTGGTGGACGAGTTTACTCAATGCTGCCTGGAGACGGCAACACACCCCCCTCCTTAATCTCCAGTCAACACAGTGGATGTTGGCACGCCCTCCTCCCTAATATCCAGTCACCATATTGGATGTTGGCACACCCTCCTCCCTAATCTCCAGTCACCATATTGGATGTTGGCACGCCCTCCTCCCTAATCTCCAGTCAACACACCCGATGTTGGCACACCCCCGTTCTGGTCTTCGGTCCGTGTCATTGAATCAGTGACCTATCTATCTTGGGTGATTTACCGGTCTTATTCACATACCGGTTGCACATCAGAACTAGATAACTGTGGTGTTGACGCATTTGATTGGAGAGTTCCCGTGATGTTATGATAATCTACATACAGAAGCTGCCCTTTACAAATATATATATATATATATATATATATATATATATATATATATATATCTGTTGTACGTAGGCTATCTTTTATTTATCTTTCCTTGCCAGATTAAATATTTTTTGTGTGCTCACAATAGTCACAATTCTACAGCACATTACAAGTTTGAACTCTACAGATCTGTCCACCCACACTTTTTAAAGTTTTCTCTTTACAATTTTTAGGAGAGGCACTGGCACTTGTCCTAGTATTGAAAACTGTAAGCTAGGACACTTGCCATTTTTTTTCTTCTAATGTGCATTGTCCACCGGTTTCATTGTCCTAGCTTATAAGTTATTGTGACACGAGGGAAAAAGTGAACACCCTTTAATAAGGCCACATATAGAATAGTAGTGGGGTTCCGTCCATAAACTAAGCTTACAAAATTACGTTTCCCTTTCGTTTGTCTCACGTGGCTATATTTCATAAATATCACCCCCCCCCCCCTTTACCATGACGTAGCTAGGGTTAGTGCCATCAGGGGAAGTCAAGTTTTTTGCCGTATATCATATTTTAAAAGCTTAAAACATGCCTAGATCTCTGTATTCACCACAGAAAAGACAAGACTAAGGAATATCCACGGCACGGGGTTCTTGAAAACATACGACCACGCGCCGGCATCAGCCGGGGACTATGTGACGGCCGACTGCGACGTGGGCAGACGACACTCATCGACACAACAAACATCCGGCGACCATGACGAGACTTTGGACGAGATCACGTGGGGCTTCGATACGTCCCCGATGCTGTCGTACCACCCCCCGCCGGAGACCGACCACGTGGCCAAGCAGGAGTCCATCAGTTCTGCGGACGGCGTCAGCCAGCGCACGACCCGAACTAAAAAAAGGAATCCGAAATGTGAACTGAAACGAAAGAAAGTCATCGCTAAAAAAAAAATCGCTCACGTAGACTCCAGCGGCAGAAGAGATCGAAGGAAAAAAAACAAAATAGTGATAGACAAGTTAATGAGTGGGACTTCATCCGAGCATGGCGGCAGTCCCACGAAGGTCAAGAAGCAGTTGACACCACGCGTGCCCATCGGACGATCTGTGAAATCGCAGTGTCCACAGTCGGAGACCACGAGTTCGAAGAGGTCTTCGACGCTGCAAGAGACACCGGCGAAAAGACGATTGGAATCTCGGACGGTCAGCCCCAAAAAGTCGGTTAAAAAAAGCTATGTTTTAAGACCCCCACAAGATCCTGTAATGCCGAGAGTAAGCATATCCCCAGAAAAATTCTTTTTGCAAAATGTAAGTTGATACTGTTTTAGGATGTATTTTATACACGTCGTAATTTGTGATAACCTTACGTCCACATTCTATCATATGCACAAGTCTCGTTTTTCATATGTCCAAAGTCTATAATATTCATATATCCAAGTGGTCCTCAAATATTTCCAAATTCTACCATTCTGTCCAAATTGTCTTCTCTTATGTCCAAATTCTAACATCACATGTCCAAGCTGTCTACACACACGTCCAAATTGTCTTCACACATGTCTAAGCTATCTTCACACATGTCCAAGTTGTCTTCACACATGTCCAAGTTGTCTTCACACATGTCCAAGCTGTCTTCACACATGTCCAAGTTGTCTTCACACATGTACAAGTGTTATCCTCACTCATGTCTAAATTGTCATCACAGTGATTAGTTTGGTACACAGTTATAAGGATGACGGTGAGTTAAACATAACATAATGTTACTGGTTTGATCACGTTCAATGCCCCACAACTTAATTTTTGTTTTGTTAATGGTAGGTCACCCAAACACATACGATTAAGTAAATGCAATAAGCGCCTCACCCCCAAAGATAAGATACCGAAGACAACGCTACACCGAAACCTCAGCAGGAAGTTCTTTCATTTCCCAGAAAGCCGTGCACGAGACAGATTTGAGCTCCGAATCAGACCAGGCCGAGAAGGCCCCCGCCCTACAGGGTCTCACCGTGGACTCCCGCAGCGAGGCGAGCAACGTGTGCAAGCGAGACAGCTGGATTTGGTTCTCCCGCGAGGCGCGGCCCAGCATGGAGAACTTTGCTTCTAGACAGAGAAAGTTTAAGAGTGAGGATCCTAGGGTAGCTGAGTTGGCGGCTGAGATAAGGTGAGCAGCTACAAACATAAGAAATAGCTCAGCGGCGTAGGAAGGGTGGTGCGAAAAGAGGTGGGGGGGATCCGCCCTTGGTGGTACTTTTTTTTCCTCCTTATATGAGTGTGGGGCATTTTCGTCCAACTGCAAAGTTTATGCGATGCAAAAATCTTGATCCAGCTCGGCCGGCCCTAACCCCAGCGACGCTACTGAAACAGCTGTACACATGATGTAGGAGAGACGTTTGGCTGTAGAGGGGGTTTCACATTTTAGGCTTTCTTTTCTTTAACCCCACCTTCGGTTACTTATTACCTTCCAAATAGCCTTTTGGGTTAACTTTTGGTGTCTGAGGGATTACAAAATAAGATATGATTCTTTATTGATCCAAATAAATGGACAGGTTAAAAAAAAAAAATACGTTTAGGAAATTCCCGGTTGCATAAAAACAGTGACGTAGGTGGGGGTTAGTGGTTAGTACGCCATTGAATTACATGGCTGTATTTGCTTCAATTAAGATATTCTTTCATTACAGACGACAGGATGAGATGAACCGAGACATTGAGAGAGAAGCAGAGTCCTTGATCGAAAGCTCGTCACAATCAAACAAGATCGCAAGCACCAAGTGGGTCCAGCAGCCCATCGGGCCAGGGTTGCAGACGGCCAGCAGGATAAGGGCGCGAGGCAGGGTCAGGCCGTCGCCGTACGCTCGTCACAACACCAATCCCACCGTCAGCCGAAAGTCGAGGGAGCCGGAGAGAAAGCTGCTGTCGTCCGCGAGGAAACACCTCTCCCCTCAGAAGTACCTGGTTCACTTCCTGAAGGACAACGCCATCGACAACCAGAAACTTCGGGCGGACGTGAAAATGGCCCTGAGGAACGCTGACATCTCCTTCACGTCGTCCGAGGGTGACGTCATCTCACACACACGCGTCGCCACGCCCTGGGACCCCGAGCCCACGTATTCGAAAGTTCACTCCCCACACCCCAGGGCTAACGATCAGCCCGGTGAGCTTTTGAACAGCCCGTTGGCCGGCCCCTATGACTCCCTCACTGCTCGGAAGATTGTGATGACGTGCGGCCGGCAATCGCCACCAAACGACAACTCGGTTCTGCTGTCCAGCCTAGACTCGTCGCTGACCTTCCAACAGCCTGCTCCGTTGGTCAAGGTCGACGCGCACGCGGAAGCCCGTTTCTCGAGATCGTTTAGCCTCACGCCAGCGCAAGAGATACCACCGGTACTTTTTAATGTCCAGAATTCCATTGGATCATCCCCCTTTCGAAACTACCCCCACGGGAGACGACCACACTCTACGGGGAAGGACCCACGACAAGTCTACTCGGCAACGGCCAGGACGCAGAACTCTTTTCAGAACCAGATCATCCAGACCCAAGGCAGAGCTAAAATGGAGAAAAGGGTGCATCTGTCCGCGGGTGACTCTGAATCGGACTCGCTGCAAAGAGAAATCTCGGTACAGGACTCGACTCTGAGGCAGGTTCTGATAACCAAAGAAGTCAACACCGCTATTCACAGACTCCTGTTTGACACGGAGCAGAGCTCCTCCTCCCTGAGCCCCTCGTCTTTCAACAAACAGAGTGTCGTATCCAGGGGCATCATGCCCCGTGAGATCAGTGCCATCACGTATGCGCGTCATCCAGCGGAGGACGCTCCGGGTCAGAAAACGTGTGGCGTCAAGAACAACGTGTCGATTCAGTTTTCCGTGCAAGCCAATCCGCAAGAGTCGTCTTCTTTCAAGTCTGACTCTGCGATCAGGTCGAAGCGCACCAACATCTACAACCCCGATTACTACCTGGGGAAGCGGGTGACCTGCAAGCGGCAGCTGACTGTAACAAATCAGACGGAGTCCACGACAGAGTCGAGCTCCAACCGATGGCGGAAGAAGAGTCGGCCTCACACTGACGTGAACTCTCCCGTCGTTTACTCCTCAGAGCACAGCACCCCAACCCCATTGCTTCCCAAGTCCACGGGAGACTCCGTGATAGAGAAGGCTCAACTGTTAAACCAGAGGAGACCCGAGGCCGTCAGGGCGACACCGATGTCGGGACCTACACAGCAGTATCACACGGACAGCGCAAGCGATCTGAGCCTAGGGCGACAGGATGCCATGCCGAAGAATGTGGAAGAGACAACCTCTACGGAGAATCAGTTTTCAGCGCCGCGGAAGAGCAGCATTCCGATATTAAACAGATTTGGTGGTGATTCCACATTGGCAAATAATCAATTAAGTGGCATCCCCGAATACAAAAAACAGACACATCAACCGCCAGCCAAGGCCGATACCCCATCTAATAATCTCAATCAACGAAGTAACTTAGTTCAGGAAAGTGTACCGCGGTGGAATGTAATCAAGGAGAGCGGTACGCAGTCAAGCGTATGTCTTTCTGTCAACCAACAGTTTCAGCAACGAATAAATGGTCAAGCTGGACATATGAGGAAGCCGTCTAGAAGCCATGAGGTGATTCTACCCTGCAATACGATGCCAAATAAAGTCATCAACATAGGACTGAGGTCTAAGCCACTTGATTTCTCGAACAGACCGAATAAACCCGATATCATCTCCTTACAAGACTTCAACACCAGAGTCAGCCCGAGTGAGACATTGCACATGTTTCGCCCTGGAGGTGCATGCGACGTGTGCGCTCCAACTGCATTTCCCGCGACTGACCGATCTCACAGTGCGGCCACGGCCAATGGTAGCATCCAGGCCTCTACAGCAGACGAGAAGCCAGTGGGCTCGGATAACGCGGTCAGGCTGGCGTCAGATGCCAGATTGAAACCTCAGAAGGTGGTCACCTACTCTGACTCGTACTGGGCGAGGAAGGTCGCCACCAAGCAGACGTCACCGGACGGCCCCCAGAAATCTCCCAGCCTCGTCCTCGGGAAATCTGAATCCTGCCACTCGTTGAAATCCTCATTGCCCAAACCGTTACGCGTCTCCAACTCGTCCGATCACGTCGGCGTCCCGATGAAGCCCATAAAATCCGCCATGGGCGTGTCCGGCCTCTGCTCGCATGTCATGACAGGGTCAACCAATAACTCGTCCAGCAACGCCCCGTACCAGAGAGTTGGCGAGAGCAAGGCGGTTCCGCCCACCATGGTGGGGCATTTCTTCTTCGTTACCACGACTACCGCCACATCCGACAAACCACCTGTGTACCCCGACGATTCGTTTCTAAACGCTGGCAACATTGGAACCGTGGGGGGCCGTAAGGGACTTGAAAACATATCTAATTATAGAACAGACCTTGACAACAAACATTCCGGAGATGGAGATGCCCTGGTATCAAACTTAACAAGGAAAACAGTATCTCCAAAAATGGGTTTATTGAATATGTTAAAAAGCGCCAGCACGCCATCCACAGATTCACAACCACATGAGGAGGACATTAAAGCAGGGGCGAAATCCACATGGACAAATGCTCGCGTCAACCAGCAACGGGTCGAAGCTGTCGACAGCAAGAATAGTTGCAGCAGCGACGACACAGAGCCCTCTCAGATGGTGCTGCCCCCTACTTCCTCTGACGACGACGATGATTTCGACAACAACGACATCGCGGAAAAAACGAGAACCGACGGCAGTCGGGGAGAACACTTCCTGCCGACTGTTCCTTTTATCCAGGAAGATCAGTCCAAGCCAACCGTCGCCCCAACCCTCTCGAACCAAGATTCCGGCTATGAAGAATCCATGTCAGACCAGGCCCAGAAAACCAAAAAACCCTCCGAAGATGGCAGCGGTCCCCAACCCAAGACCCAAACCGAGACGGCGGTCACCGACAGCTCGTCGTCGTGCTCGGAGGGTTCTCACAATTCTGAAGGCTTCACGAATGTCAGCCGCACATCGGAGGAGTGCGACTCTGAGACCCAGTGGATGTCTTCGAGGACGGATAACGCTTTCGTTTCTCCGAGGCACTCGACCGCGTCCACCAGTTCACGTTTGTCAAAATTCACCATTTCAAAGTCACAGAGGCCATGCGGCGACATGAACCGTGAGTGTGCGAGTGCGGCGTTCAAATCCCCGACTCGAGATGTGCAAAACAGGTTGAGCGAAAACAAGGTCCTTCTCCTTTGTGATGACGAGCACGACAAGTATTCTGATTGGCTGTCGTCAGGCGCGACGAGTAAGGAAAGCCGTGCGTCGGTTTATGCGCGTGAAGGAAATTCTGAAGCACCGTCATCATATCTGACTAAAGGATTGGAGCGTGTCACAATAAACAAACCCCACGCTGATTGCCCGTCGGTAGAAGCAGCGGGTGCACGTGAAGCACCCGGGTACGTACACGCGTTACCGTTGCAGCTGTCAACAGAAATGGCGGCGATGGGCGCTTCCTCTGGGCCACAGCCTCGCTGTGTCGAGGACAGGTTATCACAAAAAACACATGTCAACGATTTGCGCAGAGTAAACACCATCCCAGATTGCACCACGAATTGCGTACCGTCCAAAATCTGGCAAAATTACCACTCGGTGGACGGAGGGAGGGACAATACCTCACCAGAATTTTCAGAAAGAAGGGAGAACATGCAGGACGCTTCCTGCTCCACAACGGCAGACGTCAGAATGCTGGAATCTCTGCTCTCCTCCGAGCTGGGTGAACCCTGCATGAATGATTCCCCTAGCCACAGCTCGAACACCTCACTTGACCTGAGCACGTCGTTTGGGTTGTCCACCTTTGAGGAGTCCGACACTAGACACACGAACACGGCAGACACATTCGGCGACACCTTCGTCAAGGGAATGAACCGTGTAGATCTCGTACCTAATGGAGGTTCACGTGAATTTGATTCCAGTAAAATTTTGGACCCATTCACTTATAGCGTTTCCCAAACAGCTCACCAAAAAAGGGACGCAACTTCGGCCAATATCATTTTGCTTCCACCAACATCGTCAGATGAAGAAGATGGAGAATGCCCCAAGACGTTTGACTGCGGTGGTGATCGCGAAAAGACCGGAGCCGCGCGACTTCCAATATCCTCGATGGCTCGTCCGTCCAAAAGCAAGGTAAACCCCATGTCTCCCCTCCTATCACGTGATCACGCCAGCGATAGTCTGCTGGGCAAGACATGTCCAGAACAAAGGGCAGACAACAGCTGCAGCACCGACGTACGCAAGCGAGAGCTTATCCCCAAAAGAAGTGTGAATTTTGAGGAGCTGTTGAAAAGATTTTGATGGACGTGTTGCAAGAGAAGCAGGTGTAAGGACGACCTAACTTACTGGTGTGTTTAGTTTGAATTGGACTCCAATGCAGGCCTAACTCACTGGTGTGTTTAGTTTGAATTGGACTCCAATGCAGGCCTAACTCACTGGTGTGTTTAGTTTGAATTGTACTCCAATGCTGACCTAACTCACTGGTGTGTTTAGTTTGAATTGGACTCCAATGCTGACCTAACTCACTGGTGTGTTTACTTTGAATTGGACTCCAATACTGGCCTAACTCACTGGTGTGTTTACTTTGAATTGGACTCCAATGCTGGCCTAACTCACTGGTGTGTTTAGTTTCAATTGGACTCCAATACTGGCCTAACTCACTGGTGTGTTTACTTTGAATTGGACACCAATACTGGCCTAACTCACTGGTGTCTTTAGTTTGAATTGGACACCAATACTGGCCTAACTCACTGGTGTGTTTACTTTGAATTGGACTCCAATGCTGACCTAACTCACTGGTGTGTTTACTTTGAATTGGATTCCAATGTTGGCCTAACTCACTGGTGTCTTTAGTTTGAATTGTACTCCAATGCTGACCTAACTCACTGGTGTGTTTAGTTTGAATTGGACTCCAATGTTGGCCTAACTCACTGGTGTCTTTAGTTTGAATTGGACTCCAATGTTGGCCAAACTCACTGGTGTCTTTAGTTTGAATTGAAATCCAATGGTGGCCTAACTCACTAGTGTGTTTAGTTTGAATTGGACTCAAATGCTGACCTAACTCACTGGTGTGTTTAGTTTGAATTGAAATCCAATGGTGGCCTAACTCACTGGTGTCTTTAGTTTGAATTGGACTCCAATGCTGACCTAACTCACTGGTGTGTTTAGTTTGAATTGAAATCCAAAGGTGGCCTAACTCACTGGGTGTTAAGTTTGAATTGAAATCCAATGCTGGCCTAACTCACTGGTGTGTTTAGTTTGAATTGGACTCCAATGCTGACCTATCTCACTGGTGTGTTTAGTTTGAATTGAAATCCAATGGTGGCCTAACTCACTGGTGTGTTTAGTTTGAATTGAAATCCAATGCTGGCCTAACTCACTGGTGTGTTTAGTTTGAATTGGACTCCAGTGCTGGCGTGAGTTTTGTGAGCAAATAGAGATTTCTTGTAATCTATCAGACTTGGTTTTCAAAGTCGGAAAATATGGTGGGTGGGGGGGAGGCGGGCTTGATTGGGACTTTTGCTTTTGACACCTTTCATTCACTCTTGAACTCCAATCAGCAGGCCAAACAGTAACACAACAGTAGGCTTATCATTTTCAAGGCCAAATCTCCAATTGTAGCACTGATCCCAATGCCTTATAATAGAATGACATGCGATCCTTGTCTAAATGAATGCCGTACTGCATGACACGTGACCTTACTGCATATGACTGTCTTACTAGCAGCCCATGTGACCTTTGTTTCTATGATTGTAACAGGAACTTTACCCTCCATACTAACCTTGCAACAAATGAGGAGGATGTAACATCCAGGAACTTTTCTCCACCCTCATAAAACGCTTGACACATTTCATTTCCTAAAACAGATACCCCCAAAGTACAAAAAAAAGAAAGGTAGCCTGACAAGACTCTCTTGATAAGTTCAACCTAACATTTTCAAAACTCTGGCCAAGTTAATTCTCAATCTCAGATATAAACGTTACTAAACTTGTAGTATAAGTACAGCCAGGGGCGAAGGAAGGGTCCGCCTCGAAGGAAGGGTCGGCCTCGGGCGGCACATTTGTCTTAATATGGAAGGGCCGCATTTTCGGCCATCTGCAGTTTTCTTTTTTTTTTCCAAAAAAAAATCTTGACCCGCCCCGGGCGGCGCTAACCCTAACTATTTCACTGAAGACATTCCATGTCCTATTGTAACTATTTATATCAACAAAAATTATAGCTATAAAAGTCAAAGCATTTCTATACCTATAGAAAAGCAACAAATGTTTTCCTCATTAAATAACATAATAAATAAAAACAGCTGTTTTCTCACAGCAATATATATATATATATATTTAAAAAACAACCACAGAAAAAAAACCCAACTTTGTCAGGGGTTCACAATGTTGGTACTGATCCGACAGACAAAGCTTAAAAAGTCCTGTACTTGGCTTTTTTTGGTGTATCTCAGTTCACTGGATAGAGATAGCACAAGCAGCTTATTTGATGCTGATGTATCTGATTTATCAATGTTTAAGTATTCCTTTTACATATGCAATCTTTTTATTTGTTGATATATCTTATTATACTACAATAAATGTAATATTTACACAGTCTAATATATTATTAAACTCATCAATTGTGGATTTGTTTTTCAAATAGTTATAGTAAATTTTTGAGTATATCTACATTATATTTTATGCTCTCCAATATAATTGCATGGAAAGGCCTTTGAGTTTTAAACTTCCATTTCAAAGTTCTGCTAATTATTAAATCAGTATAGTAAAAAGAAATATATATATATATATATATATATATATACTGGTTAATTTTAAGCAAAGCATCCATAACTTAACTTACAGCAGGTTATTCAATTTAAATTATGTTTTTTCAATGTTGATTGGAAATTTCCATTTAAGGACATTGGATATTCAAAAAAATTAAATATATTATCTTAACAACAAACATGTAGGGCTTTGGCCTGCCTCACCACTTCCTTCCACTGAGACATAACTAATAATTCTCCCTTCCATTAAAAAATAAATTAAATATATTTTCTTAACAACAACAAGTACTCACAACAAAATGTTTAAAAAACAAAAATCCGATATTCCGTTCAATAATAGAAAACATTTATGATGAACAATTTTGGTAAAGCACATCTAAGTTGCCTAAACAGAAATTTTTTTCAATTCATTCCATCAACATCATGTCATCTCAAGAGAGAAATGCTAGTTTTACAAGAAATATCATTGAAACACCGTTTAAGCAGAGGGTTAGAGAGTGGGGGAAAGCAAATCAATTGGAGGGAGAGGCAAGCTTGTATGTTACATATGTACACAAACAAATCATTTGCATCATGTTTTAACACTTTCTAATTCAATTTCATTTTGCTATATTTCATCTCTTTACAACAAACGATATGTAATTTTACAATGGTTGATTTGATTGAGAGGTCAAATCATTTCAGACTTGAGTATCAGCTATCATGCTGTACTTGGTTACTTTACAGTGTTGTATCATAACATATGTCACTTACAAAAAAACAGCATTCCAGCTATTTTTGTGGGCTAATTAATCAACAAGCATCTTCTTATTATACATATCATACAAATATATACACATTGAAACTCTCCACAGAAACAATTTTTTTTAATAGAAAGGTATATGTATAATTGGTTTTTATTATGCATAATGTTTTGAGTAAATAGTAATTCTTAGAACACGCTGGGAAAACTTAGTGTTTGCCTTGTCTAATGTGTTGGAAACAGCCAGCCTCATAAGCTCAACCACATCAGCTGTTCCACAAAGTCTTAAAATTTGTTTATAGACTCAACAGTGATTTGACTAGCCTATTGAGCCTCAGCTCATTTCCTACATCACCATCCTACACTGCCAAAGACTGACTTGATCCTTATGGCAATAGCTTGATACTTCCTTGATGAAGTGGACAGGACTGGACTCTCCTGGCGGGCAGCAGGGGTGGGGTGGAACTGTGCCCAACCGCAGAGGCTGCGGAGTATTGTTCAAAATATGTCACAAGTCCAGAGCACTCATAAATAAGTAGGGCATGTTGGGACAGATTGACATGTGCATGGCTAGACACACAGGCAATCTCTTTGTGGTGAACGGGGTTGTTCAAAGTTATCAGCTGCAAGCCAGGTCCAGGGCAAAAGATTGAGCCGCACTAATTATATCTTCAAATAACAGCTCTCGACAAGCCTGGTGATGAAAATTTGCCATACAAACGCAGACCTCCAAAATGTGTCCGGTGTAGTAGACTGAGCCATGGCACAACATGGCAAGCAACACCCAGTACTTCAGATTGAGCAGTATTTTTTTAACCGGGCGGAACACACAAAATCTGGGTCATTTTAAATTAAGCAAACATGCTGGGAACTTGCGTGGGATCCTCAATGGGGTCCAGATCAGATGGGGAGGGAGAACCACCATCGTCAAAGCCGCCGGTGACTGTGAATGGGGAGACAGCCGACGAGGGCTGAGTGTCATCATTGTCAGCCGTCGACAAGAAGTCCATATCCTCAGTATCTGCCGGGGACACCTGAAACAAAATAAATACAAACAAATTATTTTATGACTCAAATTTACTGAAAGCAAAATTTCCTCGGATTCAAACTTAACAAACATTGAGCTTCATTGCAGATCTAAGCAACAAACATGAAAAACACAGTATGTATAACATTGCAGTTGAGATGACTTTCTTGAGTAAGAGAAACAAGGGTGGAAATAAAACAAAACACCCATCTATTTTTATTTTAAATAATTCTTAATGTAGAGAGGTTGTGTACCACTACTACTACCGCTAGTAATTTAAAATGATTTATTAAAAGGCAAAAAGAATGCAATCATGTGATACTACAAGTACAAGGCTTTGTGACATTATAAAATGGCCCATTCTTGTATCCCTTTCATTTTAACTTGAACAGACATGTGAGAGCCTTTGGTGTCATTTAATAATCACAGTGGTTTAAATAAGCAACAGGACCGTTACAGACCATTGTTTCCTCTTTGATGTTTGCTTCAGAAAAGGCAGAGAATGGCAAAATCTTTGGCCTGGATTCACCAATGTCCTGGACACAAAAAAATTATAATTGTTTTTAATAATGATGTCAAACATTAACTTTATGAATGAACTACATAAATGAAATAGATACACTTCATTTATCGAAGCCCCCAAACATAAATCACATGACATTGGACGTAATTTCAATAAATAGAAAACCTAAAATTGTTATCTGGCCTTGGATAAATAATCCATATTATCTGCTTGGTAATTAATAGAAAATTTTGACATCAAATCAATAAATTAAAACAAAACTCCCGACTAAAAATGTCCTCGTAAGATATTAAAACTTTCAAGCACATATCCTGCTGATTTTTTTCTTTTTAAGGTTGTTGGAATATCTATTAAATATTTAACCTCAGATGAATTGTAAAAACTTTCAATTTAATTCATGAAATATTAATATCTTAAAAAAATTGCTCAGATGTTTATAACCATAAATCTTAATAGGTTATATTATGTGTCTCTAAAAATCGTAAATAAACTATGTTTTCATACTATTGATTAGATCCCAATTTGGCAGAACAAACATGTGGTCATAAGATTCAAATATACAGGACAAATAAATTATACAAATTGTTAAAAGTTTTGTTACAATATATTTAGCCCATTCCTCGCACTAATTATATGGGGTTAGCTAATCAACATAAATAATAACAGGCTTTTAAATTATTTTTGGCACGGAAATTCCCAGAGTAATATATGAAGGCTCTTGAAGAGGTCTGAATGAATGCTTCTATTGAAAACAAATGCTTACACTAACAGGAGAGCGTGATAAACTCCGCTTGTTGGAGTCTGAACGAAGTGCATTCATCTGTTCTTTCATCTTCACCAACATCCATTCTGGTACAGTGAAACCTACACACTCATGCATCAACAGGCCAGGGCTGTCCCTGTTTAAAAAAAAAAAAAATTCATGCATTTAATTTCATTCTTGAATCTGATTTTTGTTTCAGATGAAGAAAATATTAACTACGGGGAAATACACAGATTTATAGTTTATATTTATTAACTTGCATATAATGCATATTTCTAAATAATAAAAATTGACACATAACATCTCAGTTAAATGATTACCTAGTAAAAACATTTAATTTTCACTGTGATGCTAATTAAACCTACATCATTGTCTGTGATGACCTTAAAGCCTAAAATTTTAATTTCCAAAAGCAGTAAGCCCCTTGTCATTAACATTAGAAAGGCATTTTAGAACTGTTGGCAGTGTGAAAGGTAGATGGAGATTGTCACTTACTTGTAATCATCTGACCTACTCAGGTCTTCAATATCCTCCAGCAGCAACATGTAGGCCTTCCCCCCTGTAGCAGGCATCAAGTTATGCTCATAGAGCCACACTTTGTCCTCTTGGTCACCTATGTACTGTAACATGAACATTACAGGTTAGTTACATACTGTAACATGAATGCTACAGGTTAGATACATACTGTAACATGAAGACTACAGGTTAGATACATACTGTAACATGAATGCTACAGGTTAGATACATCCTGTAACATGAATGCTAAAGGTTTGTTTTTAATAAGGATGGCTTGTGATGTTTAAAAAAAAAAAATAAACTCACTTTATCTAACATTACACGACAGCAGAAAAAATAAATATAATATTTAAGCAAGGATTCTCAATGTCATGGTAAGCCACAAATTGCAGGTCTGAAAAGCATATTTAATGTTGAAAGATTGAAAATAAAACGGGTACCCGCTGCAATATGGTTAAATTTCTGAATACTCTGAGAAGCACTGGTTTAAAGAGTACCTTGAATATGTCTGGATGCCTGATGTACAGTCTACCTCTTGTGTTACCCAGTCCAAGAGCCCTGAAATAAAATTTGTGGTGGATTTGAAATCACTTCTTAATAGGGCAATATACCTATTTGGGACATTGAGCAGAGGGTTAAAGACTGAACAAGAATATTAGTTCCTAAACTTTGAGTAAGAGTTCACTCCCTTCATAGTGACCTGGAGATACATGTTTTTTTTTAAATTTCTGTTTGAAACCTTCTGCTCAAAGTCTTGTCTCTTCTTGTATTGTAATGTATAATAACTTCTGGTACTTAATGGCTTTCCTAGTCTCAATAATTAACAATTGTGATAAACTTTGTGAAAATCCTTTAGTGTAAATTATAAATATTTTAAATTTGTTAGGTAATGACACATTTAAATTTCATGGAATGAATAAGGTTAGGGGTGGCAAGCTATTAAAAAAAAACAAAGGAACTGCATCGAGCTCATATACTTTTATATCAATTCTGAGATTCTCACAAGTATGGCAACTGAGCCTTGGGTGCTCTGAACCCATTACCGAAAAAAGTCTTGTGTAGAATAATAATAATGATCTTTAGTTGCCTTTTCTTCACTTACTTGTTTGCCCTAGCTCCCATCACAAATAAAGTTTCTGGCTTCATTCTCTCTGGGTCCCACTGTAAATAACAACAAAATTGTTATTCCGTTAGGTGTGTAGAAATACAGAGAGCATGGCCAACAAAATGGTTATTCAGTTAGGCTTGTAGAAATACAGATAGCATGGCCAACAAAATGGCTATTCAGTTATGCTTTATAGAAATAAAAATAGCATGGGCAACAAAATGGGAAACATGCCGTTAGAAAAACAGGATGGCCAACAAAATAGAGAAAAATGCCAAATAAAAATACAGTGAACTTTATAAAAACAAGAAAAGAATGTTTTTTATATAAATGGAACATGATCTCACCTTAGGCCCCTCACGTTTGATTGGTTCACCTGTCTTATACGGCTTATTTGGCGTAACTCTTCTGTTAAAATACAAAAGAATATTACCAAATAAGACTCTGCAGCTACCCGTGAGTGAGAGGGTTTGTGTTTAGATGAAATGTTCAATGTTTCGAACAAATGGAGGATCACCTGCTAAGTTAACAGAATTTAAATACAAGCTGTAAGCCCAACAGCAATATTTTTTTATAAAAGAATTAAACCTGGTGATCACCGAAGTTTGCTAAAATGAGCCCCTTTTCTACATCTTATTCTAGATTATTACAATTAGTAAACAACATTATTTTACATATCTTAACGATGGTCTTACCCAGAATTACTATGAACACTTGTTTTAATTTTTTTCTGTAGGTGGAAAAAGCAATGACAAGCAATGAAAAGGTTAATAACTCATAGTGTATTGTTAAAAAAAAAAGCCTTTTTTTTAAAATAAGGTATCATTTTGGAAACATCCTCATATAGGCTAAGGTTATTACGTCATTCAGGCAAAAAAAGAACCAAAACAAAACAAAAAACACCAAAAGGGAACAAATATTGTTGGATTTTTTAAGTCATGCAGTAAAAACAATTATAGCCCAAACAAGATCCTAGTTCTAGACACCCATAAGGACTAACAATTTGATCTGATAATGTTCAAAACATCTACATTATGAACTCCTCAGTAAAGACTGAGTGTAATAGGGTTTTGTGCTAAGCACCGAGTTATTCAAAGCCAGCTCTAATAAATTGCTTGCTCTAAACTCCATCAAAATCAGCCTGCTCCAAGCACGCACAACCCACCTCCTCCACAACCAGTATGCCATACTTGTTTTTACATTCTTAAGTCGTTAACTGATTGTCATTCATTAGTTGACAGAAATATTTGACATACTTTGATTGTTTTTCTCTTGAAACCACCAGAATCACTTCCCTTTTCAGAGTCACTATCTGAAATGCGACTTCGTTTCATAAACTGAAACATGAAAAATTTTGAAGTATAATTTATACCTTCGAATAATTTCTGCAGGGTATGTATTTAAGTGACCATAAAATATTGAAATCCTATGACTTCTCTTTACACAACTCTACAACAAATTTATCCCTTTCATCGGATATCATGACATAAATATACATTTTTATAATTTCTCTCTCTCTCTCTCTGAAAGTGGTGCTTTTCCCTACTCATGATTATGTGTCATAATTATTTATATTTAGTTGATAGATTTATAAACTAGAAAAGTATGCTGACCATTCTGCGGCTGCCAAGACTCCCTGATTCTGAGATGTTGTCAGGAATATCAGATGGTGTGATGCTACGCCTTCCTGACTCACAGATATACTCAGATTTTGCCTGATGGAAACATGAGATTGATCAATGAAAAAAACAATAACACAAAAACAATAACTGTTACCATGATTAAGATTAAATGATTTAAGTATCAACCAAAAATAACTACACCAACACCTTGAATACAAATAAAGAACAGATGCGGAGAGTGTGTAAAATCTCCATCGTGGCCTCAGGCCGAAGGGAACATGCCCAAATGGACCTAAATGGCTATAGGAACCGAATGATGATGACGACATTAAATGAATTATGCAAGCTTAAACAATGTCCAACAAATGATAACTAACGTTATACATTTTTAATGAATAGTAAATTTTTCTTGGATTTTTCTTGACAAGAAACGGATGGTGTATTGCAAATTATAATGGTAAAATTTATTTCAAGGGTACACACTAACAGGTTGTATTTACCTCCTCAAGAATCTGCCTACACACGTAATTGATATGGTCCTCCCCTAAAAATGGTTCATTGTTGTTGTGCTTGATGTTTTCTAGAGCTGGCTGAAAGTATTTCTGGAATAAAAGAAAGTTTTATTGAATTAAACTCTGACACAGGCTGATTTGTCCAGGATTTGAGTCTCACAAGATAAGAATACTTAACTGTTTTACTGACCCAACCAAGCTTGCCAAACATTCTTTTATGAACAACATATCCCAGTGTTTAAACAAAATTATTTCCACATCTGAATTTCTTATCATGTTTCACATACTTGTTAGAGAGTACAAAAAAATTTTTTTTTTTTAATTTCTAAAATAAAACTGATAGATTAAAATACAATATTCAGATTGGACATATAGAGAGGACATTTAATTCCTAAAGTGATTTAAAAAAAAAAAATTAAAAGTAAGTCTGCTAATATTTTGCTCTATTGAATTTCAATGTTGTTATGATACTGCCATCTCACTTCTGTATATCTCTTAATGATTTCTGTCAGCTCTTTGTTGATGTTCCGCTGTAAATTCTGTCGCAGAACATCTAATGATTTAGCAGTGTTGGTAATGACACCAGCTCTGAAAAATAAAGATTCAACATTAAAGATTTTGAACAAGAGTTAAAGTAACGGAGCCGAAAAGTGCATTGCGAAATGCTCAACTAAAAAAGCAAAGTAAAGCTCACCACCAAGAAAAGGTCTGTTGCATAACCCAGGATAAAAAAAGTGATACTTAGCTTTCTTGCTTACTAATGACATTTTTTCCCCTTCTTATTCATATAGTTACATTTCGGCACGATCTATAGTTAAGTACAGTAAAGTACATTTGAGTAAAGCATTCCCCTTTTGCTTTGATTGCAAAAATTTTTTTCAAACCACAGACAGCATAGCATGCCTGTTTTATCCCACAGGCTGGTTTTGTCCAGGATTTGAGCCTCACACCATAAGAATACTTGTCTGTTTTACTGACCCAACCACCTGTTGAGGTTTAACTACACCATTTTGTTTTAAACTTACATTTCAAATTCAATCTTTCTCAATCAATCTGTATTATAGAAGAAGCTTATTATAAACTGCTTTACAGTTCTAGACTAATTCTGTGTCACATTAAACTCATTGCCCGTAACTATTTAAAACTTTTAAATGGAAAAAAAAAACAGAACAAAAACAAATTGCTATAATCTGTCCAGCAATAGTGTGGGCACTATTCCACTAACTCACCTGGCTCTTTGAACTGCCACTGCATGAGATCTGTAGGCTGCTCTGTAACTTGAATTCATCACAGGAAAACAGGACAGGTTTGAGATTCTTTGGTTAAAAGGTTGGAACTGAAACAAGCATTTATTTAAGGTATTTCAAATCTGTTATTCTGGAAAGAGCCAATTAATGCTCCCCAACGCTATATCACCTACTCACTGACTCGCCCAGTACACTACCCATGTTATCCACTTAATGATTCACCTTCTTACACAACAAAACAATACCCCCCCACCCCCCCACAATCCTTTATTGCCTATGCTTTCCTTCAGAACTCTCTTCATTAGCTCTAATAATTAAAACTTTTTATTAAAAATAAAAAAAAGATAAATACCAATAAACAAAAATAAATTCAAACATTTTATCTCTATCTATAAGGTTAATGCACAAAAAACCAACAACAAAACCGATTTATTGATTTCATCGATTATGTTTTAGATATTAATTAATCACTGATCAGTGTTAATATTTGACATCCATTGGCAAATATCAAAACATTATTTTATGCAAATAATGTGTAGCCATCTTGAATGCTATGTTAGTTAGGAAAGAAAGAAAGAAAGACCAAATAAATGTCTCAAAATTATGTAATACAGCACTGAGGCTAACAAAAGCAAATACTGACTAATGTTGTCACTAAGGCGACTATGTTAAATATTACTGTTGTGTATCAAGCTAGTTCATTGAGAAAGCACAAAGCAACAATATGATGATACAAACTATCATTTCTAAACATGGCTGTGTTATTTTATAGCCTTTAAAAAAATATTTAGACACCCCCCCCCCCCCCCCCCCTTTACCCACCAAAAACCAACACCACGCCCTTCCCCTCTCAGTGGGAACCAGTGCATAAGATAATTATGGATTGTCTCCAACCAATGGTACTTCTCTATCCAATCACAGCCGCATGTAGAAAATAGCTAAAACTAACAAGTGAAAATGTGATTTTTGTTAAATTGAAAAAGTACAGGAATATATCTTTTAAAAACATGGTCTGACAGGTCTCAGCTGATTTCAAGATCCTACAATATACACCAAAATCCTAAGAGTAGCCAGGTGTGAACAGCAAGGCTTAAGCGTGACCATAGATTATTTTAATAATAATAATAAAACTTATTTGAAAACCACGCTTCATCCCCAAAGGCTCGAAGCGATGTACAAGGTCATCCATTTTAAGAAGAAATGAACAAATCTATATTTTACCACATTGAAATACAAAACGCAACATTACAAAAACTACATAAGAGAATACCCAATCTAAGTCTTTCATCCCTTACAACCATAAACAACACAGGCCACTTTACATCTAGGAGGTAATAGCTAGCTGGAAAAGATGGTAGACAACTTCATCCCAAAACTATCCACCCTAATTTTCATACTTTTAAAGTAAACATCTGAACAAAATTTACCTTTTTCTTCTCTTCCTTGACCTCTCCAACATGATTGCAAAAGCTTTTGTTCATTTCTGTCTTCACCTCTGTATTTAGACTATACATATCAACTGTGGCGCCTTTATGTTTGCTATTGAGTCCATCACTCTTTCCTACAGCCACATTAGCAGCCTTGGGCTCTCTGAATCTGCTCAGTGGCTCTTGATGTAAGCTGGACTTGTGCTCTGTGTTACTGCCAATAATGATATGCTGGTTGGCAACTGAGAACGAGACAAGGCCCTGAGGCTCTGGCTCAGGAGTCAGCTTGATCCCAGTAGTGGGAAACGTGAACGGGTTTTGAACAGACTGCTTTGAAGCTTGTCCAGTTTTGTTGTGCGTGTTCTGCTGCTGGGTCTGGCCTTGCTGAAACTGTCCGAATTTCATTGGGTAAGGGGGAGGTGGGGTGTAGTCCGGGGGTGGTGGAAGAGCTGTTGTGGTCGGAACAGAAGACAGCGATGACACAGACGGCGAAGCATGCATGATGGGTTTGGGTATGTGAGCCAGTGATGATGTTGTCTGTAATGTGTGAAATGTGAGGGAAGCAGAGGATTTCACAGGTGTCTGTGAATCTCTGGGTTTTGTTGTTGAAAAAGCTAAGGTGGCATTGGGAGCACTGGATAAAGCAGTATTGAGAAGATGATGGCTGATTGCCGAGTGAATATTGCGCCTCACATCTTTATTGGAAATGTTTGAAGAAGCCTCCGCTTTCACAGTGGCCCCATCACCAGTTATGGACTGCAGATGCCCTATATCCATATCCACATCTATGGCCGTCTGCTTGGAATCTCCTAGTCTGTACTTGGATATAGTTTGTGTGGTTATTGTTGTTGGGATAGTGTTTGTAACAGTGCCTAATGGACTTGAGCTTATTTTTAACCCTCCACCACCTAATGTTGCTTGGTTGACAAACTCTTGGGTAATTTTACTGGCTGAGGAGGGTTGAGCTACAGTAGATTGGGCAGATGAACTGACCCGGAGTGGACTCTGGTGTGAACTCAGCTGTTTGGCGATGGACTGGACATGAGAGGAGCTATCATTCTGGACCCCCATGGACCCACTAATACTGGCCTGTATCAACCTCTCCAACGATTGCTGCTTCTCAAGCCCGGATAAAATTTCACCAAGCCCTCCAGAGAGGTTCAGACCAGGAGTTGAATGGTCAGTTGAAATCACTTGATGCTGAGATTGCTGCAGGAGCCAGGAGTGGTCTGACAGTGAATTTGTCTCCCCCAGTACTGGTTTGGACTGGTTGAAAATTAACCCAGGCTGCGTTTGACTGTGCTGTTGGAGGTGAAACCGTGGCTTCAAATCAGATGGCGATGTGTTTACAGAACTGAACTGGCTGGGTTTCTTGGCCACTGAAGATATAAACAAGGATGGTGAAATTGTGGATTGCACTGATGCAACTGAAAGTGACGAGACCAGGTCTGCATGTTGCTGCTGCTTGAGCTGATTGGGAACAGATGGGGACACTTTAACAACAGATGGCACAGCAGATGGGGCAAGCTTGGCAGCCAGCAGTGGCATGTTTACATCCATGGCCTGCTGGGGAAAACAGTACAATAAATGTGTGAACATGAATTTATTGTAGCTCTTAAGAGAGAAAAAGAACTAAAAGAGGTAACTCTTAAGTCTCAAGACAATAGCTTTCATGGAACAAGCCATATCATTACACAAGGATACATGACTATGTACAGTAGGCTCATGGGACCTACTAACAGTCATCAGGCTCTTTTTGATGGTTAAGTTTTGCTCTTTAAGAATTTATTTTCTGCTACAAATTTTTATACGCATAAAGATCATTATTATTGATACCTACACAATTAAAAGGCTATACTCTGTCTATCGGACATTTATAATAATGACTTAAAATGTGCAAAAGTCAGCAGGGAGAACAAAGGTATTCCTTAATTGCATAGAACTAATGACTGACATTACCCTCATATTTCACCATCATATTTCTGCTATTTAATTCTATTCAATGGGCTCATATGTAATAAAGAATTCATTTAATTTTGCATTAAAACATAAAGCAGAAGGAGACAGTGTCGTTGATTACTATTGAAGCAAATGACATTTGGAAAATCATTTAAAAAAAGTAAATAAACAAAGAGAATGACACTAACCTTTTTATCTGTGTCTTTAGGGGATGACCTATTTGTAGATGGCTGGGATTTTGATGTGACTACCTGGATCTGTTTTGGTGCAAGCTGCGCATCAATACTCCGAGAGCTTTGGATCTGTGTTCTCAGCTGCTGTTGCATACCAGGCCGCAAGGCTGCCAACTGAGCACTGGACTTTTGCCCATTGGCTTCCATTTTGATCTGCTGGGCCACCTCCATGGCGCTGCGTGGAGAGGGCCGAGGTGATGCAGAGGAGGTAGCAGCAGCTGACATTGTGCCAATGTTTGTACTCCCTGGATTGGTTACTTTTGGTATATGAGAAACATTCACTGTTTGTATTGTGCCATCAGAGGAGGCCAATAAATTTTCAACTGTTGATATAGAGATTGGTGAGCCACTAAGTTTGGATTCTCCTGAATCTAGACTCTGCTGTCCTAGATAACCACCAACCCCAGCCATGTTAGTCAATATTTTACTAAAAGTGTGGCCTTGATGGGAAGATCCACTGTTGGTGCTTTGGGTAAAATTGCTGACATTAAGAGCAGATTTACGGCTGGGGTTGAAGTTGGTGAGGGGGCCCCCAGTACACGTGACAACCGACACTATACCTCCTTCAGTTTTTGAAGTGCTCAATATGCCCATGGGGTCAGGCATGTTACCTTGCAAAGCAGAACGGAGTAGATTTGGTGCATTAGTTGTTGGTGCAGTCTCTGCCATTACTTTTACCATCTGAGCGGTGATCCTTGAAGGCGAAAGATCACGGCTCAGTGATGAGCTTTTTGTAGTTACTGGGTGATTGTGGTCTTTCCCCAGGGGTGAAACCCCCCTAATGCTAGACGGTGACATTGCAGGGGAAACAGCTAATGATGGTGAGCCAACACGACCCATAGGGCTGTTGGTGCCTTTGACCAGCTGGTTCAACAAAGTTGAGGGCTGTTGACTTTGTTCAGGCATTTGTTTGCTCTTCTTTCTCTGTCCTTGTGACTGATGCTGTCCCCTGATAACTTCCTTCGGGGGTTGATGATCTTTAGCCTGTTTGAGGATGGCAGCCACAGTTTTTGAAGACGAACTATTGCCTGAAACTGTTAAAGGACTTCCAGCTATGCTGGCTGAATTCATTGTGCTTGAAGTGTCTTTTGGCGGCCTCCCCTTTTTACGCACTAAATGTGCCATGAAATCCTCATCACTTCTGTGTTCTCTGAAACCATGACATTGAAGAAGGATTAATCAAGCCTACCATGAAATAACTTAGTAACATGTTTATTTGATGCTGCAGTCTCCACATAAGCCAATAATAAACCATAATATCATACTATTCAGCCTACTTTTATAAATATAAAGGTATAACTTTTTGTTAAGGAAATCAGAAAGAAAATAATAAAAAAAACTAAAAATGATTCATTTAAGGATGCAAATATATAATTTCCTCATTGATTCATCAGTCATAATTGTTGTCTTATGTTGGAGTAAGAAGTTATAGAAAAACCCAATCTAGCCCAAAAGTAGGCCTGTTGTCTGCAAGACTACAGTTTTTCTTAAATGTGGAAGAGCTACTCAGTACTACAAGTCAGTACTTAGTATTTAGTCTTAGGATTGAACCAGAGTACATGAACTGTAGTGATCTTTATGATTTCATCCCAAACTGCCCAAACAGGATAAATGACAAGATATAGCCTACATATAATATTATAACAAATACATATTACACAGAGCAAATGCTTGCCCCATCAAGGATTCCTTCTTGTTTTATCAGTCTTACTCTTAGTAATTCTATTCTAGCCTACTCTTAGTTACACTTAAACAGTAAGGTTGAAATTAAAAACATTAGGCCAATGCCACCCACATTCAAGGCTAAGAATAGGTTCATACTATGTCAGTTTGTGATTTATTTCATTAGGCCTTTCTTAAAAGTAAGTGGCTAAATTAATACTAGCTTTGGCTTTAGTTATTAATTTCACTTGAACTTGTTTTTACATTAAGGTCAAGGCATCATTACTGTCAATATATTTTTATTATGGTTTTATTTTTTTAAAAAATATAATAGGCCCAATAAAAAGTTAAAGTTATTAACAGTATTAACTTCATTTTTGCATGAGCTAAGTATAATAAGTAACTACTAATTATAATTATTTTCAAGCACCCAAAAATAATTAAGGCAGGAATTATTTGACTGTAACCGTAGCCTAGTTACATTAACATTACTATTTTTATTACTAATCAATGAGTGAGTAGGTCATCTGAGATTGTCGAACTTCAAATCATAGGCATAGTATAGGCTATGGCTATAAATATATAGTGAATAGTGCCTACCCAACATAAAAAAAAAATTACATACTACATATAATATAATTCATAATACTAAGTACTAAGTAAGACTCAAGTCACTCAAGACTAAATACTACATTATACTACATAATATTGCCAATACAAATTGCTTGCAATTCATTAATCATTAATTTCAGTTTTTTTATAAGTGAATTTTGAAATTGGTTTGACTGAATGTTACTCCGGTGATTCCCCAGTCCCAAAGTTCGGAATTATTGGCTGGAATTGACTTCTTTACTCAACTCACAATTTTAAATAAATTTAATTGGCCTTGCGAGTCTTATTTAGCTATTCAAAGAAATTATTTCCCCTAGGGTTATATTTGTAAAGTGCTTGCTTGCAGCTCCTAATTGGACACAAAAAGTGCACGCTTGAATAAAAGGAATTATGAAATCTTACAGTGATGGATTCGCATTAGATGCATACGCTTTCCGCTGTTTGGGACGTCTATCCAATTCTTCGGCCATTTTGTGTAAACACACAAGTGCCAAAATAAGGTTAGATTTTAACAACTTATTTTGATGACGTCATTTCTTATTTGTTAAAAATTATGTTTGATTTTAGCACACAACTTGCCAGTTTACGGATGACGATTTATTATTTTCATGTTTTGTATACATCTCAAAGGCTTTGATTAATATTAAAATAATTTTCCGCTAATAGTTAAATAATACTCTTGAAATATTAGTTCGTTTTTGAAATAATACACCGGTTTAAACAAATCTAAAAATAAGACTAGGCATTTAACACAATATAATTTTCCAGCTGAGAAGAGCTGTGTATGCCAAATTGGTATTTAATAGCAAAGATGTAAACATAACTAATAACATTGCGGAAACACAAATAAAAGTAATTTTATCTTTCATGTCCATATATTATGAATATCTTAAACGGCTTAAATTCATACAGATTTACTTTAAAAAAAATAGAGCTGCACCAAATCCAACGATTAGGTCCTACAAAAAATAAATACATTTACCATTGAGATAATCTTATATTTTTTTTTTACAAAAACTACACACTCCTCTGACTACGCTGATGTGACCACTTTTTTGAGTTACCGGTAAAGTAACTGTGATTAATCATGTTACTGGAAACTCGGTGACATACTGATGATGTATTGATATTACATTACAGTGTCTTTATGTAATGCGATAAATCAATATTTTACAATTACACGCCTATAACTTATTTTTAAAGGAGACATTCAATGGCATCTATTAAATCTACTTCTCAGGAGTCTTTTGATTAAGACAAGACATTGACTTTGTGATAGTGATTGTGATTTGAAATAAAATAAATAACCAACAAAAAAAGTCAAAACTACAAAAGTAAAAGACGCAAGTTAACAATAATATGGCTGACTCAGGGGAAAAGTAAGTCTTAGGCCTCGGCTTTGTTTGACTTAGATTCTGGTTTGTTATGAGTATTACATTAGTCATTAGTAATTAGACTAGTAGTAAGTATTAAAGACTCTAAACTCACTAATCAGTCTAGTCTAATCTGTAGTCTGTAGTGACTGTAACTGTAGCTTTTAAATTAAAATATGATGTGAGTGGAGTATCAATGACCTTATCTTATCATTATGAATGCTTAGTTAGGCCTAAACTTAAACTTATCCTATGCCTATGGCTATGGCCTATGGTTTAAAACTATGTCAGGGTATACTACTATTATACTACCATACTGTCTATACTGTACTATACTGACTATTCTATTATTATTATAACTATTGGTGACATGAGAATAGCATTTAGTCTTAAGGAACCCCGGTCTGAATAGGGTCAATGCATACCGGTTAGATTAAATAATAAATGCTATTCGGATGTCATTTGTGGTAGTTTATTTTAGTTAAACTGAAGAAGTTAACAAACATATAGCCCATTCAATTATCTTTCATTTGATACGAAATTTTGTCTAAAAAACCCTACAATAATATTTTAAATATTTTTTTTATAAACCCAACCTCTCACTTCTGATACCCGGGTCCGAATAGTTGCTGCCTTGTTTAAAGGCCGGCATATATTACAGAAAATAAGAAGTTATCTTTTTTTTAACACTTGGACCCACCGGGTATTTTCTTTGTGTAAAAAAAGCGCCCCCGTCAAGCCCTAGTATTATTATGTTACACTAACCTTAACATAGCTACCTACAGTTACTAATGTAACTAATAAACTAATTAAAGTTTGGTTATTTCAGAGAAAATGTGAGATATTATATTTTTCAATGTAGTGGCTGCGTCCACTGCGGAGGTGTACCTAGTAAGGTCTGCCTACATCATGGTGGTTTAACTAGCAAAACCATGGGTACACCATGGCAAAAATTTACCATTGGCCTCGTCTTAAGAGATGGCTGTTAGATATGATCTTTGTGGTCTTGTGGTAGAGTAAATGCTAGGCCTAGGTGATATCCAGTATCATATTTTGTGATCAATTCCCAGATGCTAATTGAATTTTACTAGGCCTAAGCTTAAACTTAAACCTTTTTTTTTCCAGCTTAATTAAAGATAAACTTTATAATTAAATTATTATGTTCATTTGTATCAGTAGTGGTATTATTTAAAATAAAATATTTTGTATCAATTTAAATATTAAATATATACATTATAAAAAATGATTAAGTGTTTAAACTGGAACAAGATGTGCCGGCCTTAATACTTTTGATCATAAGCCATCAAACTGGGTTAAGATACGCCATACCTACATCTCCCAAAAGTGTTTTAAAGGGAAACCAATGATTATCACAAACTCTTGGGACCAAAGCAAAAGAGGTGCTATTTGCAGTGATGTGCTATTTCCAGGTTCACCCAGTATGATGATCATGCTCAATAATTTGAAAGATGAAGACTTAAAAAAATCAGGGAATATAAGATTTAAGAAGAAGTGAGAAAACAAACAGAAAGTGCATGTACAATGTTTGTGACGGCTACCGGAAATTTGTTACAAAGAAATTTCATCGACGCAAAATTGATAGACGGAAATTTGATCGAACAGAAATTTGGTAGAATCTTTTTTTCAGTTCACACATTAAAATTTGCGTCAGATTTCTTTTTGAACGCACTATACTATATAGTAAAATAAAATAATGTGTTGAGAAAGAAATTTGACGCAAAATTTTAACGTGGGAACTGAAAAAAAGATTCGACCAAATTTCCATTCTATCAATTTTCCCTAGATGAATTTTCTTTCAAACAAGTTTTCGGATACGGTATGTGACATGTTGTTGTTCGTCCGTCATAATCGACAACGACCATCTAGTTAGCCGATTGTCTAAAGTTGCTTTTTCGGGCTAGCTGTCACTATCCTTCTGGCTTCATGAGATTGAGCCCACTTCTTGCAGCTGATCTCCACTCTGCTCTGTCCTGGGCTGTCTGCTCCCATTCAATAGGGTTAATTGTGAAAGCGCTTCCCTAGCATGAGTTCACCCAAGAATAGCTCTTTAGGGAGTCGGTTGTCTTCCATACGGATGTGTCCCATCCACCAGAGTTGAGACTGCATCAGGGTGGTGAAGATGGTAGGTAGGTTTGCTCTAGCAAGGACCTATGTGTCATGCACTTTGTCTTGCCACATGATGCCGAGGAGTTTCCTGAGGCAGGTTGTGTGAAAGTGGGGGAACACATGGTGATCCTAGGAGCAGTTTGTCCGCCTTGGTCCTCTCCTGTCACTCAACTCTCATGTGACATGTATTATAACCACAAAACAATTTTGAATTTTAAGCAAGATTTTGTTTTATTTAAAGATTCTTCATACAGTTGATAATTTGCATTATACTTTTACATGTAAATATAGCCATGATGTAACCTAAAGCTTTTCACGAATCTGTTATGAACATCCAAACACAGTACCAGTATATGAATATTAGATGCATGGTCGCCATTTCAACCATCGTTCTTTCTCTATGTGTTTCCAAAATTTAAAAACAATATCCACGGTTCACTCTCAGCCCTCTGTCTTGTAGCAAATCTTTTGAAAAAACATCATGATTTTAGAAACACACAGCATGGCGGATGTAGTTATGGCCATTTTTTAAACTAAATTTCTTAGGCTCCCTACTTACTAAGTACATTTTTAACTAATTAATGTAATTGACTTTATAATCTTCTTTTAATTTATTAGTTTATTAAGCTAAATTTTATAATTATAGGCCTACTAAATAAATAAGCATATGGCAAAATCCATCTTTAGCATTAAAACTGCATTATACTGGAGATTTTGAAAAGCTAAGCAGCCTAATCCCACATTTCACCAACTTGATGATCGAGATTCATCCACGCTTACCTTGACCTTGGCCAACTGGTTAGTAAAGTGCACCCACTTTCACATTATTTAATGTTAGCCTATATTATATATACACCCCCAAAATAATGCAGATATACCACTGCGACATAATAATAATAAAGCTTATTTGAATATTACGCTTCATCCCAAAAGGCTCGAAGTGCAGTACAAAGTCATCCATATTAAAAAAGAAATGAAAAAATCTATATTTTACCACATTGAAATACAAAACGCAACATTACAAAAACTAAATACGAGACTACCCATTCTAAGTCTTTCATCCCTTACAACCATAAACAACACAGGCCACTTTACATCTAGGAGGTAATAGCTAGCTGGAAAAGATGATAGAAAATTTCACCCCAATAGATGTTTGCGAAATAGATATGTTTCCAAATCGGTTTTGAAAGACTTCAGTGTCACTATGTTAAAATAAATATTCTACTATTATCTGTGGGATTCTTTTAAAAAAAGATTGTGACTGTCTCTAATCTTTCTAATAATCTTGAGCTGAATTCCCACACAGTAAATGTCTTAAGTCTTTCATTTATTTATTTCTCTACTTATGGGTACCAAGTCAGAGTCTAAAAAAAACAAATTAAAAAATTCTTTGAAACAAAAGAGATTTGTTAATATTTGAAAATAGGTTAATTAATTCCATTACCAACATATTTAACAATAATTTGTTATTTAAAATGTTATTTTCATTAATTTTCAGTGCCATTGAAACTGAGTTGGAAACTTTGGAGGCAATTTATATTCATGAGCTGACTTGTACCAGGAAAGAAGAGTAAGTGCCAATTTTTGGGTTCAAGTCGACACTGATGAAACTTTAAACATTTTTTTTGTGTGGATACTTGCTGGTCTTCAAAATAAAGAAAGGTGCACTACAAAATAGTTTGGGATCACTGTTGTAGATTATTATTACTTCACCACTTTAATTCACTCTATAATGAAAATAATTTGAGCCATTGAAACGAACAAAAAAACCCCTCAAATTAAACATTATGATAATTTTTTTGCCTCTAAAATTTAATAAATATTTAGAACTGGTCCACAAGTTGCAGTCCTGTTCTATTCTTACAAAAACATACTTATCATTGTAGCATAAAAACTCTCCAGGGGAAATCATAAGGGTTTGTTTTATAACAACTAGAGTCTTACATCTTATCTTACATGGCACCTTTTACTTTTTTTATATGAAGAATGACATGCCATTCCTTTGGGAATAAGGGAAGATTCAGTAATACTCCGGGAGCAACTGAGCCACAAAACTGAATGACATTTTCTCACCCATCACTTTGTCTTAACATAAATTGTTCCTAGTGAGGAATCTGAAGGTGTTAGTTATATCTTGCAACTCCCCCAAAAATGAGTATCCATATATGTATGTAGCCACCAGAGATTTTAAACATTTTTTTAATTGTTTAATGATGCTCACAACATCACATCCTCGTATTGATGTAACAATGGTTCTCAGCACCATTTTCAATAAAGCTCATGTTTTTGACTGATCACTTATGTTTTTCTTATTTTCCCAGTGGTACTGTTGATAAAATTTCAGCGTTGCTTCATCCTGCCACTGGTCATGATACTAGAAAACAGTATGTTTGCATGACACTTGTCTTTAGCCCAGGTCCCAACGTGAGTACCCATCAGTGGTTTTTGTGTAGCACTAATCAGAATGTCCAACCGTATGCCAAGAATGAATATGTGCAATGGGATCCAAACATATTACCCATTAATTTGGATCAATAAAAGAATCATATGTTATCTGTTTGGATTATTTGTGGAGCTTCAAGTACGTGTTTCGCATCAGTGTTGCGCTCAGAGTGAATGGAAAGAATACAGTTTACATGGGTTTCCTTTATAAGTTGTTGTTTTGCTCCTTCTTTTTATCAAGGTGTTTTTAGTCAATATGTGAGGCATATTTATACAAAGTAAATAATATGAAACCATCAGCCATGTTCACCAATTTTTTCCAGTGAAAATAACTGAAATGTTTTACAAACCAGTAACTTAATTTCAGAACCTCTTCTCAGGCTGGGAGGGACAATATTACATGTCACAATGTCAACTTATTTTTTTCAGTATCCAGATGAGGCTCCGGAGATTCAAATTTGTAATCCACGAGGACTTGGTGAGGAAGAGATGGTCAGGTACTAAACAAGCTAGAAGTAATTTGGCTTCAGCTAGATAAACACAGATCAAATGTATGTTTGTTTTCGATATAATTGTGCTTTGTATCCCTTCTGTTCATATCAACTTTTTTTTTAGAGATTGAAAAAACCCAACCCTAATTAGACAAATTAAAGAGAACCTTTTCAAGCATTAAACTTGTGTATCTCTCTCTCTCTCTTATCTCTCTTTGTCTCTTCTATCTTTCTCATCTTTTCTCCTCCCTTCACCAGATCTGAAAATACGTAGTCCACCAATCTAACTTGTCTTGTAGTTTTATCTTGTTTTTTTGTTGGTTTTTTTACAGTCTTTTGGAAGCCTTGACGGCCAAGGCTGAAGAAATCAAGGGGGAGGTCATGCTGTACACATTGATAGAGGTAATCTTTTCCTTCTCATTTCAAGGGTGCTCTCAGTCTCATTTACATTGTTTCCCATTAATGTCAGGAGCTAAACTTAACGTTGTCTTGGGGGCTGTGGGTGCACAAAACCAAACGATTATTTGTGTGAACTCTTCTGTCTGTGAGGCATTGTTTGGGGAAAAATAATCATATGATGCTAATTTTGGATAAATTTATATATATTTTAGTTGCTTTATTTGTTTATGCCAGATTATCAGACGTACCAAACTCAAATCTTTTGTTAAAGTAATCACTTTTAATTTTGTAGTAAATGTACTGGTTACAGCTAATGACTAACCCGGACAAATGTCCAGAAGTCAGTACTGTACTGGTTACAACTAACGACTAACTAGGACAAATGTCCAGAAGTCAGTACTGTACTGGTTACAACTAATGACTAACTAGGACAAATGTCCAGAAGACAGTACTGTACTGGTTACAACTAACGACTAACTAGGACAAATGTCCAGAAGACAGTACTGTACTGGTTACAACTGACGATTAAACAGGACAAATGTCCAGAAGACAGTACTGTACTGGTTACAACTAACGACTAACCCGGACAAATGTCCAGAAGACAGTACTGTACTGGTTACAACTAACGACTAACCCGGACAAATCTCCAGAAGACAGTACTGTACTGGTTACAACTGACGATTAAACAGGACAAATGTCCAGAAGCCAGTACTGTACTGGTAAAACAGAAGGAATGGTCACCTTATTTAAAGGTGATTGGACATTTTGGTTAGTTGCCAGTAGTTTTTTCTGACTCATAACACCACTGTCATAATTACTGTCTTCTAATAATAGTGTCATAATTTCTGTCTTCTAATAATAGTGTCATAATTACTGTCTTCTAATAATAGTGTCATAATTACTGTCTTCTAATAATAGTGTCATAATTACTGTCTTCTAATAATAGTGTCATAATTACTGTCTTCTAATAATAGTGTCATAATTACTGTCTTCTAATAAGTGTCATAATTACTGTCTTCTTATAATAGTGTCATAATTACTGTCTCATATTGGTGCTTTGTCCATCAGATGGCCAAAGACAGCCTCACTGATGGCAATATACCTCGCTGCCCTTGCTGCGTCTGCCTCGAGCACTTTGATGAGAAGGACCTCTTCCACCGTACGGCGTGCTACCATTATTTCCATGCAGGCTGCCTGCACAAGTACGTACAGCACACACAGGCTCAGCTGGAGGAGGAGAAGAAGGAAGTCTCGGAGAGCAGACACTTGGATGGCAATTCGAAGAAAGCAAGTAGTCATGATAAACTCTCCTACCTCCTACAAGTGCTTATTTTCATGGTTCCCAAAATGAGATATTAAATTCTGTGTAGATTTTTTTGCCAAATGCTTTTACATCTAGAACGCATAAATAATTCACGCCCAATCTAATAAAAAAACATAAGTTACTTTTTCGGAGTGGGCATTTCTAAAAACTGTGATATCCCTGTAACTTGAGAGGTGGCAGAGTTACAAATGGCAAATAATAACGATTTAAGGATTTAAAATCATCTAAAAATAACTGTTTTTATTTCACATTTTGAATCTGCTTAGTCTAACACTATATAATTTTTCATTTACATAAATTGAGATCTGGTTAATTGCAATAACGACTGAAGCAAGATTATTATAATTTTTTTAAGTTGTTGAAATGAGTTTGGAATTATTGATATAGTCACAGATCTTAAGTGAGGGCCAATATTTTATTTTTATTATTATATACGTTGTTATTAAATAACAAACACACTCCTCGTACCCATAGCTAAAGCTTCAATGACCAGACCCTTAACTTGGTATGTTTTGTATGGCTGTCACCAGGAACGAGGCATTGCATGTCCCATGTGTCGAAGCCCACTGGTCGAAGAGGATTTGCAGGTTGTGATGTCGGGTAAAGTGGAGGATGACTATGAAAAACTGGATGTATTTGTCGTGCCGCCCGAGCTCAGGGAGCAGCAGCGCAAGATGGCAGAGGTCTACCAACGGCAGAAAGCAAAAGGGGGAATAATCGACCCAGAAATGGAAAAGAATAAATTCCTAGTGAATCAAGTGAGTTATGATCAGTCTGTTTTTTCTTGTATGTAATGGATTTTTATAGATTTAAAAAAAACAACACATCATGTTTATGAATTTTACAAGGTGCTACATCCTTATATAAAGAAACTTTGATGATTTTTAGAAACATTTCTTTATTGTATTTGAACACTGGTATTGATCACAGTGATGATGTGCTGAACACTGATATTGATCACATTGATTATGTGCTGAACACTGATATTGATCACAGTGATGATGTGCTGCACACCGATATTGATCACATTGATGATGTGCTGAACACTGATATTGATCACAGTGATTATGTGCTGAACACTGATATTGATCACATTGATTATGTGCTGAACACTGATATTGATCACAGTGATGATGTGCTGCACACCGATATTGATCACATTGATGATGTGCTGAACACTGATATTGATCACAGTGATTATGTGCTGAACACTGATATTGATCACATTGATTATGTGCTGAACACCGATATTGATCACATTGATGATGTGCTGAACACAGATATTGATCACAGTGATTATGTGCTGAACACTGATATTATTCACAGTGATGATGTGCTGAACACCGATATTGATCACATTGATTATGTGCTGAACACTGATATTGATCACATTGATTATGTGCTGAACACTGATATTGATCACAGTGATGATGTGCTGAACACTGATATTGATCAAATTGATTATGTGCTGAACACTGATATTGATCACAGTGATGATGTGCTGAACACTGATATTGATCACAGTGATGATGTGCTGAACACTGATATTGATCACATTGATTATGTGCTGAACACAGATATTGATCACAGTGATGATGTGCTGAACACTTATATTGATCACAGTGATGATGTGCTGAACACAGATATTGATCACAGTGATTATGTGCTGCACACCGATATTGATCACATTGATTATGTGCTGAACACTGATATTTATCACAGTGATAGTGTGTTGAACATTGATATTGTCAGTAAATTAATGTAAATATCTCTATGCAACTAAGAAGTGACTTACATCGTACCATTTCTATGATATTATAAGCTTAAATTATTATTATTCAATGCATACAAAGATGCCCCATCTTTACTTTTGCAGGAGGAAAGATTACCAGTTCCTAACCCTGAGACCTCACGCCCTGTCGAATCAGTTGTCAGACCGCATCACGTATTGGACGCAAAGGGAAGAAAGGAAGGGAAAATAGAAGGCAGAAGGGATGACAGGGGCAACAACAGAGGCCGAAGCAGAGGTAGACACCATAATGAGTTTCGTGGAGGTTCTTTCGGCAAGAAACAACGAAAGGTGCATTCAGGTCAAGCACACCCAAGAGAAGACTTGGTCAATAGAGTTAGGAACGACTTGATCAATAAAGTCAGAGAAGACTTGGTCAATAAGGTTAGAGAAGATGTTACAGACAAGGCCCAACAAGATGGAATACATAGTAGAAGTGAGGAACGTGCTGGTGTCAGGACTGTGGGACTAGAGAGGCTTTCTGACAACATTGAAGGAACTAGCGGAGTGGGACTGAAGGCCATTCGGGAGCCAGGGAGGTCACGTGATGGAGTCTACCAAGGGGGTAGAGGAGGGCATCGAGGTGAACATGAGGTAGATGGACTAGGTGGAGGAAGAAGAGAAGAGTATAGAGGTAGGGATGGAAGGAGGGATTACGGCACTGAAGGGACAAGTGAAGATGAGAGAGATAGGAGAGAAGACGATAGGGATAGGAGAGAACATGAGAGAGACAGGAGAGAAGACGATAGGGATAGGAGAGAACATGAGAGAGATAGGAGAGAATGGCTAGCGAGTGAAGGAAGGCAAACAGAAGAGTCAAGTTGTAACACTCCGCGTGGTGTTGCCGAAACTACACATGAAAAGACAAACTTGAAGGGAAACTTAGAGGACTTCAACCCTCATTGTGATAATGGACAGAGCTGGAGAGACCGTAGACCTGAGCACAGGAACAGCTACCTGCACGAGCAGGATGATGGGTTTGGGCCCAGTAAGAGTGCCCACGATGGGAGGGCCAGTAGCGGAAGACTACAGTTCAGGGACAATATCAGCAAAGGAAGAGAGAAAGATGGAACAGCAGAGAGTAAGCCAAAAGACTTTGTGATGGATAAAAGAGATGGACGTGCGTTAGGAGATGAAAATTCTGTCAAAGACACTGATGTTGCTCAAACGGAAATTCAAAATGTTTCAATCCCTTCAGAAAGCAAGACTTTGGTACACAGCAGATCAGTTAAAGGGCCGGATAACGTCAGAAGTGATAAGCCTAAGTTTGCCAGGGGTGAACCTGTGTCTCGTAGGACCTACGGGCAAAGGCAAGCCACAGATGGCTACAAATGTGATCGTGATGTGAGGCCAGGTCCCCACTGTGATAAAAGAGATGATGAAAGTAAGCCCGATGAGGATGGCAAGACCTCCGGGGCTGGGGGCAGGGATAGAAAGCATCATGGTGCCAGCGGAAGAGCCGGCTACCCTGGAGGTGCCCACTATAGGCAAGAAGGTTATCGCCACCAGCAGTACACTAACCACCAGCACCATGAGCATTGGAGGCACCAGGACAGGCGCGGGTATGTACGCAATAGGCCTGACCGAGGTGATGATAGGCGGACCCTGCAGAACGATGCAACAGGTACAGGTAGAAATGTAGACAAGGGGCAGACTCAGACAGCCCCAAGCGGAGAGAACTCCATCCCAGCCGATCCTCAAGATGATGGGAAGGCTGACTTACGGGTCAGAGAAATAAACAACAGGTGGAGGCAGTTAAACTTTGGACGGTCATTTGATGACGGGAATCATGGTCCTAATGCTAATGTAAGTTTGGGAACAGATGATGACGATAGTAATGACGTAAGATTGGAATGCAATGGGGCAACTGGCCAACAATCAGATGACCTTGACTTATATTACATTGGGTACAGGGACATGATCACTCAAGCAGAGAGCTGGGAAGATGAAATTGATCCTTTTGCGACCGAAAGGTTGAGATTCAAGGCCTCTAAGCGGGCCGAGTACGATCAGATGAGGACGGAAGATCGCAAGCTGTACAAGGCCCGTTTAGAGGAGAGGGTGGCCATGGAGAATAGTGTTTTGGAGGAGGAGAAGAGGATGGTGAAGGAGGAAACTCAAAGACAGGAGAGTTGTGAGGAAAAATGGAAAGGAAAAGACCCAGAGAAATCTGTCTTAGAATTGTTCAAGGAAAGACAAAACAAAAAACAGCTTCCAGAGACGTCTGCGCAGAAAAGCACTGGTGAGGGAAGGGTGGTGGGTGACCTGACCTTGTCTGTTAAAGATACGGAGCCACGTCCCACGCAGGGTCTTCATTCAGCTGAGACACCATGTCAAGAGAAGCAGAGCTACATCAACACAGATATTTCACAAATAGAATGGTTTGGTAAAGGCAAAGATCAGCAACAGAAAGCCGGGAAGTCCCTCCCTGTAAGAGACAAGTATCAACAGGAGCAAGTTGGGAGGTACCATGATGTTAGGGACAGTAATGAGGACCAAGCAGGGAAGTCCCATGATACTAGGGACAGTAATCAGGAATTGAGAAATGGATTGCAGAGTGTAGAGTTGACTCCTGCAGATATAAAAAACTCTTCTACTACTGCCACTACCAACGAAACTTATCAAGGGGGTGATGAAAAAATCAAGGGAGGTAAAGCCAATAACGGTGAAATCAAGGCAGAGAACTCTGATGGTGTTTCGGTTGGAGTGGAAGCCACGAATTCAAAGCAGAAACATTTCATAAAACCACCGCCCTTAAAATTTTCCAAAAAATTGAAGAATGAAACTTCTTTGGACAGTAAAAGATGTCTTGAAACGAACCCTTTACCAGCCACCACCCTGTTGACCACCCCTTTGTCAACTACCCCACTGCCAGCCACCACCCTGTCAACTACCCCACTGCCTGCCACCACCCTATCAACTACCCCACTGCCAGCCACCACCCTATCAACTACCCCACTGCCTGCCACCACCCTGTCAACCACCCCACTGCCAGCCACCACCCTGTCAACCACCTCGCTGCCAGCCACCACCCTGTCAACTACCCCACTGCCAGCCACCACCCTCTCAACAACCCTGTTGTCAAATGACCCCAGATCAGCTAGGGCTGAATCAGTTGTGACAGAAGCACCTCAGCTAATCCAAGCAATAGAGTATGCTAGAATAAAACACTTTTCGCAGCTTGACTTGGCTCTAGGTCAAATGATGGCTCTAAATCATGTGATGGCTCTAGGGCACGTGACGCATGCTCCATCACACTCTGTTCCCTTTGCTCCATCCAAGCCGGCCCAGGTCAAAAAGCTGCCAAAGATAGCTCCCCTTAGTTTTAAAAAGAAAACCAACAGGAGCAACAGCGGAGATGCCACGGGCCAGCCCTTCACTCAAATTGCTGACGTCACAAATAAGAGAAGGAGGGCTCACCAGTGCCTGGACAAGGCACAAGATCACGGAGACTCACCCAGCTCAAACCATCTCATGTCTCACACAGCCAGATGTTTCAACGGGATTCATCAGAATGGTTCAGGATTAAACATGGACACATTGTCCAAGAATGCTGCAGCAGACACGGACAGCCTTAAAGAAAACCTTTGCTCATTTCAAAATTCATAGTTGCCATTAGAAATAAAACAAAAATTGTTGTGTGCCCCAGCGAAACTTCACTTATGTGGCAACTTTTCAGGGAATAAAGTCATGGGTACAGATGTATGGTTTGTGAAGTCACCTGTATGAATTAATTGTGAACTATTCGCTACTGACCCTTTTTGTTCATTAAATTAATTGTTACTGTTCTAAAAACATGACTACTTCCTTTCAAAAGTTATTTTATATACACGTAATTTACTGTTCTGTGTTGTCAGTGGTGTAACTGTTCTGTGTTGCCAGTGGTGTAACTGTTCTGTGTTGTCAGTGGTGTAACTGTTTTGTGTTGCCAGTGGTGTAAATTATCTGTGTTGTCAGTGGTGTGACTGTTTTGTGTTGTCAGTGGTGTGAATGTTTGGTGTTGCTTGTGGTGTAAATGTTCTGTGTTGTCAGTGGTAACTGTTCTGTTCTGTCAGTGCTGTAACTGTTTTGTGTTGCCAGTGGTGTAACTGTTCTGTGGTGTAACTGTTCTGTGTTGTCAGTGGTGTAACTGTTCTGTTCTGTCAGTGGTGTAACTGTTCTGTGCTGTCAGTGGTGTGAATGTTCTGTGCTGTCAGTGGTGTAACTGCTCTGTTCTGTCAGTGGTGTAACTGTTCTGTGCTGTCAGTGGTGTGAATGTTCTGTTCTGTCAATGGTGTAACTGTTCTGTGCTGTCAGTTGTGTGAATTTTCTGTGTTGTCAGTGGTGTAACTGTTCTGTGTTGTCAGTGGTGTAACTGTTCTGTTCTGTCAGTGGTGTAACTGTTCTGTGCTGTCAGTGGTGTGAATGTTCTGTGCTGTCAGTGGTGTAACTGCTCTGTTCTGTCAGTGGTGTAACTGTTCTGTGCTGTCAGTTGTGTGAATTTTCTGTGTTGTCAGTGGTGTAACTGTTCTGTGCTGTCAGTGGTGTAACTGTTCTGTGTTGTCAGTGGTGTAACTGTTCTGTGTTTCCAGTGGTGTAACTGTTCTGTGTTGTCAGTGGTGTAACTGTTCTGTGTTGTCAGTGGTGTAACTGTTCTGTGTTTCCAGTGGTGTAACTGTTCTGTGTTTCCAGTGGTGTAACTGTTTTGGGTTAAAATTTTAAAATAAAAAAAAACCTTGAAAAATACACTATTTTCCATACAAAAAAGCATACAATTAATATTCCCCCAAATATGTTGTTCCACTCATTTAACTGAAAAGGCGTGGGAACAACTGTGAAGTTTTGGGAGAAACAACGAAATCGACGCACACATGATCAATTAAGAAAAGAAAAACAAGCAAAATAAAGTAAATTGAAATGTTGAAAGAAAATAAGTGCGCCCCACACACACACACACACCCACACTGGGAGGACCTGCCCCTTCGCGTCACATTCTACGCCCAAAAACATAGAACGCCTGCCTTTAGATGTAATAATAATTCCACAAACTAGAATCTATAGGAAAAAAAAAAACCAACCAAACCCGGCCAAGTCACGAAAAGAAAGGGGAATGTAGGCTGAGCCAACAAAACACGCTTACGCCATTCAAAATCTTTTATCAATACAGCATTTACGGTAGACTTCTACAAAATCACGCCCGTGATCTGCATTCGAGCTTCTTGGCGCTTATATGTAAGATGTGGTGTTAATGTCGTGGGTCAGAATGATAACATGATTAAAAAGCCCATGGTTCTGTGTAAATAAGAGGATTATAGGCTTAGATAAGAGGAGTGTATAGGCTTAAATAAGAGGAGTGCTTAGGCTTAAATAATAGGAGTGTATAGGCTTAAATAAAAGGAGTGTAGAGGCTTAAATAAGAGGAGAGTATACGCTTAAATAAGAGGAGTGCTTAGGCTTAAATAATAAGAGTGTATAGGCTTAAATAAGAGGAGTGTATATATGCTTAAATAAGAGGAGTGTATTTTCTTAAATAAGAGGAGTGTATATGTTTAAATAAGAGGAGTGTATAGCTTAAATTTTAGGAGCGTATATGCTTAAATAAGAGGAGTGTGTATGCTTAAATAAGAGGAGTGTATAAGCTTAAGTAAGAGGAGTGTATAAGCTTAAATTTTAGGAGAGTATATGCTTAAATAAGAGGTGTGTATATGCTTAAATAAGAGGAGTGTATAAGCTTAAATAAGAGGAGTGTAGAAGCTTAAATAAGATTAGTGTTTATGCTCAAATAAGAGATGTGTAAAGGCTTAAAAAAGATGAGTGTATATGCTTAAATAAGAGTAGTGTATATGCTTAAATAAAAAGAGTGTATATGCTTAAATAAAAAGAGTGTATATGCTTAAAGTAGATTAGTTTTTAAGCTTAAATAAGAGGATTTTATAGAATAAAATAAGAGGAATGTATGTGCTTAAATAAGAGGAGTGTATAAGCTTATATAAGAGGAGTGTATAGGCTTAAATAATAGGAGTGTATAGGTTTAAATAAGAGAAGTGGAAATACTTTATTAACATCCATGTTTATACCAAAGAACCCCTAATTAGGGATAAAAGAACACAATTGGCATTTAATATAACAACTTTTAAAAAAATGCAGCCTTTTTTTCCATTTTATTTAAAGGCGTGATTGATTAGTAAAGGGAAAAAAAAAAGGATTTACTGTACGAAACGAATGTGCTTGCAAGTATGTGCGCGCATGAGACGTTCAAGGACATCAAGATTTAGTCATTCGAGGTCTGAGTTGCTGAGTAATATTTTCTACCTTTATATTTCGATTATTTGTTTAAAAAATAAAATAATAAATTAAGAAGTGTGAATCCAGGCTATTCACCGCCGTCTTGTCTCAAGCCAAAACAAGCAAATTTCGATAATAATACATCGCAGCTCATGCTTTCTATGGGGATTTAGATCCTATATTTCGATATGCTGCACTCTCGGAAAATACTTTTCAGCTAAATGCTATTTTAAAATTTTAATTCTGTTTTTTTTTCGTTCCGTTTTTTTTCTAGACCTTCCAATACTTTATAGAAAATTTTACTAATGTACACCAAGTCCCACATATCATCTCATATTGTCATCATATATTGACAAGTGTCTTACTCTCAAGTGTCCCCTCAGTATATTTTGACAAGTGTCTTAGTCTCAAGTGTTCTCCTTTCAGTATGTATTGACATGTGTCTTACTCTCAAGTATCCCCTCCAGTATGTATTGGTAAGTGTCTTACTCTCAGGTGTCCATCCCAGTATGTATTGACAAGTGTCTTACTCTCAAGTGTCCCCTCCAGTATGTATTGACATGTGTCTTACTCTTAAGTGTCCCCTCCAGTATATATTGACAAGTATCTTAATCTCAAGTGTCCACCCCAGTATGTATTGACATGTGTCTTACTCTCAAGTGTCCCCTCCAGTATATATTGACAAGTGTCTTACTCTCAAGTGTCCACCCCAGTATGTATTGACAAGTGTCTTACTCTCAAGTGTCCACCCCAGTATGTACTGACATGTTTCTTACTCTCAAGTGTCCCCTCCAGTATATTTTGGCAAGTGTCTTACTCTCAAGTGTCTCCTCCAGTATGTATTGACAAGTGTCTTACTCTCAAGTAACCCCCCCCCCCACAACTCGGCATAAAAGTGTAACAATGACGTAGCGCTATAGAGACTCTTACGCCACACCGACGTTCCGTGGTACCACGCTCCTTCTCTCCCTGCACAAACATTGACAGCGGATTTAGGGGGGGGGGGGGGTTGAGGATATGTAAAAAAAAGGTCTCGAAAATAAAGAAAGTCAGAGTTTATAAAAAAAAAAAAGTAAGCCAGACGGAAATGGCATGGGTAAACCTCACACCACACTGCAGCCTGCGCCCGTTTTAAGTTAATCTCAACCGCTCCCAGAGAGAGAGGTACTACTTCACTTGTGGACGTGGGGCAAAGACACACACTAAAGTAGGACGAAATAGCAACGGGGAAAAAAACAAAACGAGGAAGGGAATATTATTCATTTCACTAAAAAGACAACTCTTGAATACATCATTTTGCACCACGGGAGAACTGCTGATTTCCTCCCTAAAAGGGAGAGGTGCTGATTTCAACAGACAAATCGTGTGAGTAAACTAACAAAAATTTTTTTTTTTTTTTTTGAACTCTCCCCTCTGCTTTAAATTCTATCTGGATTTGATACAGTCGTCAGCAGTTTGCTTTGTTTGTTGTTGTTGTTTTTTTTTGTTGTTTTTTTTTGTTGTTTTTTTGGGGAGGGGGGGGGGTATTTTTTCTATCTGGATATGATACAGTCGTCAGCAGTTTGCTTTGCTTGTTGTGGGTGTTTTTTTTTTTTGTTGTTTTTTTTTTTTTTTGTTTTGTTTTTTTTTTTTTTTTTTTTTTTTTTTTTTTTTTTTTTTTTTTTTTTTTTTTTTTTTTTTTTTTTTTTTTTTTTTTTTTTTTGGGGTGGGGGGATTTTTTCGGTAAGTACAATTTGTGTTAAACGTAACAGCACTGAAACTGCCGCGTCTTGAGCGCGTACGTGTGTGCCATGCGTCAACGGTGCATAGCTGCGGCCGCCTACGTGTGCCCTGAGGTGTCGAGGATGTTGTGTTTCTATTATTAGTCTCACTACGGCGACTACGGAGGACATTTTTTTATTTTTATTTTGTATAGTTGATCATCATTGTCGCTTGAATTTAATTGATTAAGTCAGTGGGTCTCAAACCTTCCTCATGCCGCGACGCTTNCCCCCCCAACCATTGAATTATTGTCGTTTTTACTTCAGAAATATGCGTTTTCCGAGGGTCTTAGGTGACCTTTGGGTAAGGGTCATTCGACCCCCCCCCCAAAAAAAAGGGGTCGCGACCCATAGGTCGAGAACTGCTGGGTTCGTGTTTTAACAAAGATGGCAGAAAAGTACTAAGATATCTTTTTAAGAAGACGGCACCAAGTAACACAGTGTATCGTGTCAGTGAGCGGAAGAGGCAGTCTGATCGGCCAGTAAGTTTTTCTATAGTGAGAATCATTCCCGTGTCCCCCCCCCCTCCCCCTTATGAACTTTACAGAGGAACATCCTACAAACTGAACATCTGCAAAACGTCCGCTCAACAATTTTTGTTTAAGGACATTTTTGTGTCCGATGCATGTTGGATGACGCTGGAAGGAGTCAGAGATGCGGAGCCGGGATGATGCATTGGGGAAATGTCTGCGCTGTGTACTCGGTTCCAGCTTGTTTTTTTTATAGCAATAAGTGGTTCTGAGGCGGAACTCGCAGTCGTTTAGAGGTCGATCAGACTTTACCTTCCTGTGACAGAGCACTCTGCCCTTGACAGAGTACCCTGCCCTTGACAGAGTACCCTGCCCTTGACAGAGTTCTCTTCTAGAACCGCGTTGCTTAACGTTTATTTTCTCCTCTTAATATCTCTTCAAATTTTTATTTAAGCATTTAGAAAAAAACAACAACAAAAAAACAACACAAAACAACCCGGTCATCCTTTGCGTTCACTAAAGAATGAGAAAAATTATAGCTCAATTATGAATACTTTTTCATTCGGGAGAGACCCGATTCGAACAAAAACTTTATAGTCCCTTTCCCTTCTATAGTCACGTGGTAATTGTACCTATACACCGTTGACACACGCAAGTACGCATCAAAGACGCGGGAGTTTCTGTACTGCTCGTTTTTGCGCACGCTGCAGTCATTAAAAAAAATAAATAATTGATGACTAACTCCATGATTTCTGTTGGTGACTGATGACGCTAAATGACTAAACTCGTTGGATGGACTAATTTTTATTAAATGACTAAACGCTGCTTGGGGTTGACCTGACATGCTAAAACCACGTGACTTAAAGTTTGGGAGCGACTGGTTATCTTTTTATTCTTTGCCTTTCCAAATCCCAGTTGAACAAGCCTTCCGGTCTCTAGCTCTATTCTCGAACACAGGCCTGCACAAAATATGGGCCGCCAGCCCCCACTTTCTGGCCCGAAAAGTAACGAAATATTCTTTATTATTATTATTTTCTTAATAGCTTCCCTCCCACCCCCCCCCCCGCCCACAATCCTATTTTCTTTCGGCCCGCACAAGTTTTTCATAAAAGTATTACGGCCCGCCTTACATTTTGAGTTGTGCAGGCCTGCTCTAACACTTTCCAACTCCCAGTTGAAGAAATGCCATAAAAAAATTTATTTGCAAGCCTTCCGGTCTCTAGCTATCTTCTCTAACTCTTTCCAACTCTTTTAAACCTTTACAACATCTTTGTCGACATCCCTTCACCAGGATATGGTGGGGTCTTCCTAGTCTAACTGATCCTTTAAGGTTCCTTACCATTGTTATTATATTAAGTGACTTAACGGTGGCGAGTGACCGATATATAACTTGACTAAGAATTTCTGAGTTACTGATATATTTTATAACTTCAATGTTAGTATGACTGCTATATGCGACTTTGTCAATGTAATCCCTAACTGCAGTCATGACCTAGATGGCATAAAAGACCATAGTTCTAGTCAAGTTCACTGTGACCATTTAGCTGGCCCAAATTTCACCCAGTCTCACAAAGCTGCACTACAATGAATTCAGTTTGGTACAAGAGAAGGGGAAGTTATACGTCGGGCAACACTTTTATAGAAGCCCAGCAAAATTAAAGGTGATCAATGAGATGGAAGATTCACAACAAAATAACAGGGATACTTTAAGATAGAGGAGGCATAACACAAACGACGCTTGGATTTTCAATGTGTCTCACGCACTACAAAATTATTTTTGTAGTTGCATCCAGATAGGGGCACTACAATATGTTTTTTAGCTTCACTAATAGAGGGGCACTGCAAAATAAATTTGGACGCTACATTCAGATAGGGACACTGCAAACTATTTTGGTAGATACACTCAGAGGGGTGGGGGGGCACTGCAAACACGCGCATTGATATTGAGCTTCTTCTTTTTGGTAGAAACCTGCTTTTAAGTAGGTCATGTACCCGAAGACCCCTTTAAGTAGGTCATGTACCAGGAGACCTCTTTAAGTAGGTCATATACCCGAAGACCCCTTTAAGTAGGTCATGTACCCGAAGACCCCTTTAAGTAAGTCATGTACCCGAAGACCCCTTTAAGTAGGTCATGTACCCGAAGGCCCCTTTAAGTAGGTCATGTGCCCGAAGACCCCTTTAAGTAGGTCATGTGTCTGAAGACCCCTTTAAGTAGGTCATGTACCCGAAGACCCCTTTAAGTAGGTCATGTGTCCGAAGACCCCTCTCGATTTCGCACTAACACACAGCCACATGTTCATGACGTATCATACAGCTAGGTCCACAGAAACTGTATCACGTAACAAAATCTCGCAATCATTCGCGATAAATCCACACAAACAACGCAAATACAGTATTTTATTTCGGGGCTATTTCTATCTTGAAACTCCTCTTACAGTTTCTTAAAGTGGTCAGTTAACTGTGACCCGTGATAACAAACGCACATCATGTCGAAAGAGATGTACCTAGCAGCACTTGTAAGTTAACCCAAATTTTATTCTTTTTTAAGCTTGTGTAAAAAGTGGATTTTTAAAGCAAAATTTTGATTACTCAAAGGTAATGGATTGATTTTTAAAAAAATGAAGAAAAATCGCAGTTGTATTTAACGATTATAGATTAAGGGTAGAGGGTGGGAATAAGGGGGTGGGAGGGTGCAGCCCTTTTCAGAACATTCTTGAAATATTTGTCTCCCTTCAAGAAACTCTTCGACAGAGAAACGTACGGCTTCCCTAGCAACAAGAGCGTCTATGACGTAGAAGGTCGTGAACTCAAGTTGTGGTCCTACGATGACAAACTGGTGCCACCGTTTGGTGACAGGGGACTGAAGCAGATGAGAGACCTTGAACTTCGGGATGACGACATCCTTTTGTGCGGCTACCCCAAAACAGGTGAGTCTTTTGTGACCATTGTGTCCGTAGAGCTATTTTGGTTAGTACGGCCCTGGTACCCTAAGCAACTGCGTAGTCTGCTGAATGGTTAACACGGCCCTGGTACCCTAGGCAAATGCTTAGTCTGCTGAATGGTTAACACGGCCCTGGTACTCTAGGCAAATGCGTAGTCTGCTGATTGGTTAATACGGCCCTGGTACCCAAACTAAGTACATTGTCAGCTTAATGGTTAACACGGCCCTGTCCTCGCTTCTAACTCGCCTTTCACTCGCCCGTCGCTTCTTTAGGCTGCCACTGGACGTGGGAGGTCCTCAGCATGATATCCAGGAGAGAGGCTCAGCTTTCTACAGAAGGAAAGGACCTGGCGTTCTTGGAGATCGGTCCAGGTCAGCTGATGGAAGGGCTTCCCTCACCTCGTGTCCTCAACTCTCACATGTGGTTCAACTACCTACCCAAACAGGTGGGTATTCGTCCTTAGAACCCAAAATTCAACTGACCTAGTTCCTGTGTAAATGAAACAGACCCAGTAAATATTTGTCAGAAGCTCATTAGAGCACATGGCCAGGTATGAGTTAGAAAAGTAATTTTAAGTTCCTGTGACCAACTTTATGTCAAGATATTACTTTAGCTGATATTTATTGATACAAAATAATACATATAAAAATAAGTCCAAATTGACAAGGTATACATTTATTTAGTTAGTTATCAACTGAGGCCACCAACCAAGCCAGTATTGGCAGATCAAGCTAATTATTAATAAAATAAAACTATTTTTACCAACTTATCCTTTTAGATATCCGCCAAGAAGACCAAGATTATCCTGACAGTAAGAAACCCCAAGGACACCGCTGTCTCCTTCTACAACCATCATATGGCTATCAAGACCATGTATATCTATGACGGACCTTTCAAGGACTGGTTTCAGCTTTACATGGACGGACGAGGTTAGAGGCTCATTTCTCTTTAAGTCCCACACATCGCTCTAATTTAATCAAGGAACCAGGAAACACATGGACTGCAAAGATAAAATGAAGCGAACTAAAAAATGCATATGTCTGCTCGATGGGTGTGCCTGGGAAGAGCCAGTGCTCGTCCAGGTGGGTTGTTAAAATTTCATTTGGTCGTCCGTTGTCTACAATCAAAGGGACTCATGCTGGCCCAAATCACAGGCGTGTCACAGGCCTGTCAATTATGTATCGTCAGCTTTTAATAAAAAGTAATAAGCATCGATTTAAAATGAATTTTAAAAAAAAGAATTCTATCAAATTTTATCGTACAAACTTTATTATACTACTGTACAGATTAAGACGTTATTTGGTCTTGTAGTCTGCTTAATCACAGAAATAGCCTTCAGTATTCGAATTTTCTATTAATTTTTTCATTCCTTTATGTGAGACACTGAAAACTATGAAAACAATCCCATATCTTTCTTCTACCGTCTGTCTATCTCTCTCCATCTCACTGTCTACCTCTCTATAAGCACCAGCTTGGGTCTTTTCAGAGCAATAGTTTATTTATTATTTGAATCTAAATTCTTCAATATAAAATAATTTGACGCTTGAATAAACAATTTCACATACCTTTTATTTTGCCTCATTATTAATCGGACTAGGTGTTTATTCCGAGGGCCGTGTTTCCATAGATATGAGCAGACAACCTGAATTGAGACTAGAGTATATAGAGATATAAATACAACTTCACATACCTTTTATTTGGACTCATTATTTATCACCTGTCTACGTATTTTATCTGAGGGCTCCATTTCTATAAATATTAGCGAACAAAGTGAATTGTGACTAGAATAAATAAATAAATAAATATATATACATATACACAAACACATATAAAAGTGAAATTTTGTGGGTTTGTGGGTTTGTTCCAAAAGGGCTTTTACATGGATTGATGGATTTTGACCAAACTTTGTACATATATCCATCATGATCCAGAAAGAAATCTTAAGGGATTGTGAACTTTTTATAACGTTGCGTTTGGGGCCGGGGGCCCCGAATTTTTTTTCCAAATATGAACTATATAAAAATAATTAGAAACAAATACACATATACTTTATTATCCATGTATACCGAAGGGTACTGAACTCATAGTATTCATTTCTCTGGGACGGGGGGGGGGGGGTTAATTTTTCCTTATATAAGCTATATAAATATCAGTAGGCTTAGACAACACTATAGTTTTTATGTGAATTGATGGATATAGGCCTAGCGTTGTAGCAATACACGTCATTGGCCGTATCGATATATCGGTGGATTTAAAACTAATAATATGCAATCTAGAATTTTCCAGAAACTTGCATAATTTCAAAAAGCTCTATCTATGGCATTTTTAAGTAGATTTTTATGGGACAAATTTTAAATTTTAACTTTATTATTTATCTGTCTGGTTTTATAGGGCCCCCTTAGCTCAGGTATAACTATATCGGTACTGTTAAGGAATGGGCCCCCGGGGCCCCTCGATTAACTTAAAAGAAAAAGGATTATAATTATGGCATTTGTTGAAGATTTTGATCGCATTTGAAAAAATAATTAGATAAGTAACTTTTACACATGTTTCGAGCAGGTTATTAAATTTAATCTATAATATTCCAGAAAGTTCTAAGTTGTTACAAGGGGATATATAGTGGGATCTACGGGAATATTGAAATGTTCGTTCTATTTATTTATATACTGCCCCCGGGGTTTACTGTTCTCTCAGTAACACTGAGTAATTTTTTATATTCGGAATAGAAACAAAGGGGTCGGGATCCCATCATAATCTTTATCCCAATGGGATCAGGAACCCAGCAGTAAACGGGATTCCACCGGGATCGGGATCCTAACCTTGAATGGATCCAACCGGGATCGGGATCACACCGGCAAATGGGACTTCACCGAGATCGGTGTCAGAATGGGATCGGGGGTCACACCAGGATTGGGTCCTACTGTAATCCCGGGCCACGCCGGGTATATAGGCTAGTATAAATATATATACACATCCGTCTGTACTCGTAAAAAAATGACGGACGTTAATAATTTTCTAAAAAATGAAATCAATTGATTTTATAAGGATATAATGGCACTTACCCAGATACACCGCTGTTCCAAAGGTTGTCTCTAATGTGAACACTTAAAACATTGGTTTGCTAGCAAAGTGAGTCCCAGGTCGTTTTAATTAAAAGCTACTTTAATATTCTGAAAAATGCAGCCACGATACCAAAATTCGTATGTCCCAGCCTTTGCTCAAATAGAACATGCACATGTGCAAAGTGGTTTATGTCCAACAGCTGGCTTAATCGGCCCCTGGATATTTCTTGTTCCCAGTGGATTACGGCGACTACTTTAACTATTACAAGGATTGGGACCACGTGATCAAGTCCAACCCTGACCATCCTCTACTTGTGGTGCGTTTTGAAGACATGAAAAAGGTAATATGTGTGTTTTTTTTTTATTATACTACCCAATGGAAGAGGTAATGAACAACAAATTTGAGGATTCAGAACTTCCTTTTTTTTCCCCCTCACAGTACCAGATGTAATATTTTGATGACACCTGGGATGAATGAAAAAGTAATAAACAGTACGATGCCGGCAAAACTGGGTTCAGAGAAAATGCGACCAAAAAAATGTGAAACAAAATAAACGACTTTTTCCAGTTAGCGGTCGATATGGAACACATGCTTGACTCCAGCTCAGAAAGACAGAAAGAGAACTTTTTAAAAATATTATTGGATAAAGTTTGGGGGGGGGGGGTTTCGAGAGGGTGTCGTGGCGTATTGAGGGGGGGGTCCCCAAACGGTTGGTTTTAGTTGTAAACCGATTCACGTGACACTCCTGAAAAAAACCAAAATAAAAAACCAAAACAATCGAACGAAAAGAGTCTATTTTTTTTTTTTTTGGTAGTTAATATCACCGGATTTTTTTCAAGGGAAATATGGTCGTTACCAGTGAGCTTGCGAGTCACTTTCTTAGAGATTAAATATATTTTTATCTTGACGTCATAAGGTAGTGTATACTCTTTGAGCCAGACAGAAAAATCTACTCAACTTACTTCCCTCATATTATCCTATTCAACTTCCGACAAAATCACATATTTTTTAAAACATTGAGCTCAAGCAAATTATGGGATTGGATATAATCATTGGATCGTATGTTACAGTGACATACATACGAATTTCTCTTTGGTTGGATCTGTTAAAGAATATCTTTACATTATATCATGTAATCGTATCTTATCTAAATTTATATCATAGAAAAATATTATTTAAATGGCTTTTTTTTTTTTGCTTTTACCCAACAGGATCTGCCAAAGGAGATACGGAAAATGGCTGATTTTCTCCAGATAACTCTTGATGACCAACTCGTGGAAGACATCGCCACAGCTGCGGGGTTTGACGTCATGAAGCAAGCTTACCAGAACTCCAACTCTGTCTCCAAGGATCTTCTGCGCAAAGGTCGAATCCAGTTATTTTCCTAATGATGTCTAAAATGTCTTAACCACTTTTAAATGCAAACAAAATAAAAAAATAAAAAAGACTTTAATCCTAATCAACTTTCAACAAATTCTACCAAAATATTCGATAGTAAAAAAAAGAAAGAAGTTTTTTTTATTAAGTTCATCCGTTAATTTTTCTCAGGCGGTGTAGGAGATTGGAAGAATTGGCTGACGGTGGCACAGAGTGAACGTATTGACCTCTCCACGAACATCTTAGAAGGGACTCCCTTCCAAACACCCATATATACGTTGTGATGATCATGGAGACTTGAAGTTATGCAGTTACCACAGCGGTGTTGTTTTTGGGAGTAGGGGAAGGCTATAGACATTCACTAACAGGTACTATCGATGACTCTCGGGTGCCATGGACTCGCAAACAACAACAACAACAACACCAACACTTTATGAAAGATTTACTTTGGGCGAATCGCATGCATACAAATATATGATCACATATTCATTAACACATATTATGTACAAGATATCATAAGACACGTATCTAAAAAAAATCTGTCAGGCAGAGATCGCACATCCCGTGACGTAAGTCATGCTGTCGCTCCCAGAAACAGCCAGACTTTGGAGTCTTTCAAAACTGATTTGAAGACTTGCTGGGGTGATGTTGTGTATCTAGCTATTATCTTTTAGATGTATATTGGCCTGTGTGGTTAACGGTTGCAAGGTATGAAAGACTTAGAATGGGTATTCTCGTATGTAGTTTTTGTAAAGTTGCATTTTGTACTTCAATGAGGTATGTACCGCGCTTCGAGCCTTGGGGAAGAAGCGTGATTTCCAAAAAATCTTTATTATGATTAATAATTTTTGGCATTAATCATTGGTATTTCTATACTTAAAGAAAGAGGACTACTTTATATTATGATTGATGTTCTGTGTTCATTGGGTTCTCGTGACTTATTTATGATTTAATAAATAATATCTATTATTATGACTTAATATATAATAATTATGACATAATATATACTATTTCTTCTAGAAATAAGTTTAAACATTGTAATTTGTGAAGAAATTGAACTCGTTAATTACATGGATTTTTCATTTCATTAAATATTTTATTAATATATTTAAAAAAAATTATTCGTTTTTCCATGTTCCTTTTTGAAATATTTTAATCTTTTTCCTGGCAAACAATTTTTATCGTAACCCATTGACGGTTACTCCACTAACCTGTTTTGTAAAAAAAATTAAAAATGTTGTTGTCGATATTCTGAATCCGTAACTTTATAAAAGTGGTGTGGTAGGGTAGTATGTTCCCCACAACTTCAGAGTTTGTATCATGAAAGGGAGCACAGCAAAAACCTCGGTCCGTCCTGGGCAGCACTAATACTAGCTACGCCACTAGGGCAGTGTATCTAGCTATGCCACTAGGGCAGTGTATCTAGCTATGCCACTAGGGCAGTGTATCTAGCTATGCCACTAGGGCAGTGTATCTAGCTACGCCACTCGGGCAGTGTATCTAGCTACGCCACTCGGGCAGTGTATCTAGCTACGCCACTCGGGCAGTGTATTTAGCTACGCCACTCGGGCAGTGTATCTAGCTACGCCACTAGGGCAGTGTATCTAGCTACGCCACTCGGGCAGTGTATCTAGCTACGCCACTCGGGCAGTGTATCTAGCTACGCCACTCGGGCAGTGTATCTTGCTCAGTGTTATGATGTGTTTGTGGATATTGTTTAGGTGTATGTGTTTTTTCTTCTTTGTTGATGTGCGTGTGTGTGTGAGTGTGTGTGTGCGTGTTTGTGTGCGCGTGTGTGTGTGTGAATGAAATACTGTTTTAGAAACCAAATGATATAAAATGTTGTAGGTTAGGTACATCATAAATCGACTACGGCAACGCCCACTTCGCCCACTTCGCCCTCCCCTAGCGCGGCCCTGCGAGGAAACATCCTTCAAACTGAAAAATCAGCATTACATCCATTCAAAAAATATGTAAAGACGTTGGTGCAGTTGTGTAACTCATACAGTTTGGGAAATCGTTTTTGTAGTTTGAGATGCAAGCCGGGATAATGTTTTGTGGAACTGTCTGTGTTGTGTACTTGGTTCCAGATTTTTTTTTTTTACAGTAATAAGTGGCTCTGTGGCGGAATTTTGATAGAGTACCCTTCCTCTGACAGAGCTCCTTCCCTTTTATTACCTCTTTATTTTCCTTTATAAGAGTTCTCTTCTTTTGGCAGAGTTCCTTCCCTCAACATATTTCTCTTCATTTAACAGAGTTCTTTCCCCTGACAGAGTTCTCTTCTTTTGACAGAGTTCCTTCCCTTGAAAGTATTCTCTTCTTTTGACAGAGTTCCTTCCCTGTGACAGAGTTCTCTTCTTTTGACAGAATTCCTTCCCTTGACAGAGTTCTCTTCTTTTGACATAGTTCTTTCCCTTGACAGAGTTCTCTTCTTTTAACAGAGTTCCTTCCCTTGACAGAGTTCTCTTCTTTTGACAGAGTAGCCTCCCAGAACCAAGTTACGTGGCGCCTTTTTTTTCTTAATATCTCATCGAATTGTTTTTTAATCACCTTTTCAATAAAAAAACACAAGGTCACCTCTTACGTTCACTGACGTATGAGCGAAAACATTGCTCAAGTATGATTACGTTTTCCTTTGAGGAGAGTCCCATTTCGAACAAAAAAAAACAACTGCCACAAATATAATCCTTTTCCCTTCTATCGCTACGTGGCAGCTGGACCTATTCAGAGTAGACAAACGTAAGTAAGCATTCAAGAAGCTTGAGTTTCTGTACTTCTAGTTTTTGCGGTTAGGGTTAGGGTTATTTGTTCATTAACCCCCCCAGATNNNCCCCCCCCCCCCCCCAAAAAAAAAAAAAAAAAAAAAAAAAGGTAATTCTTTTTGTTATTGAACACTGACTCCATCTATTTGTGACTAATTATACTAAACTAGAATAAACGACCCGATGTTATCGGTATAATAACGGTAGTTCCATTGCGATAATTTCTGACTGCTAGTGCAAAAAACTCATCAAAATCCATAACTTTAAAAATATAATGATATTTACGTTTTTTACATCATTAAGTTTTGAGAAGTATTTCTCTGTTATATATATATAAAACGCCTACCCTACTCCCTTTCACGTGCTTAAACTACTTTTTCCCCCCTAAACATGACCTTCAATTACCCAGTCTAACCTATCACAACTTATATCACTTTTGTCACTAAAGAAGTTAATTGAGGGACAATTACTACGCTAGAGAAACACTTAAGATTTTCCCTCTTCGTGCCCTTGAATACAACTTTTTTTTTTCTCTAAAAATTGTTTAAAAAAACTAATCTTAAATTTACAACAAAAACGATAGATATGATATAAATATATTTTATATGACAGGAATTCGAAATATATTGATATCTTCATTAAAAATATAAACGTACTTTTGCCTTTAAAAAAAAAAAAAAATATATATATATATATAAATATATAATAAAATACTCATAAAAAAAAAAAAAATAAATATATTAATATCTTAAATAAAAATATAAACGTACTTTTGCCTTTAAAAAAAAAAAAAAAATATATATATATATATAAATATATAATCAGATACTCATAAAACAAAAAAAAATATTTGATCTAAAGAAGAATGGTGCAACCGGTTTTCACGCCTATAACAGATTTGAGTGTCTTTTTAAAACATGAAAATAGTTGATCTCATAAAAATACACACATCTTTAATTTTTGCAAAGTAAAAACAAAATTATATTTTCATTTTCTGAAAGTAAAAAAAACCCTTCTCTATTTTTCAAAATTAATTTTTCAAGTGTGTAAAATGATTGGGTTTTGATATACATGGGTATACTTATGTAAATGTACCCAAGATTTGTTATCACCATTGATCTTCTTAATTGGTAAACATATGTTTATTTTTAAAAAGATAATTTAACATCTCTTTTTTTCACAAATGTAATACCCAAGGTTTTAAATATATTGTCATTCATGTTAAATGTAAACATCTTTTGTCCTATCTCCAAAATGTATGTAACCAAGAAGTTAATTATTAATCAAAGTCATTTCCTTATTTTGAGACGTATATAGTTTATTGTATTGCCTTGGGTAAAATGAAATTACCCATATTTGTAAACAGAGAATGTAACATCTCTTTTTTTCACAAATGTAATACCATAGGAGTTAACGATAAACACCATTATAGAAGCACAGCAAAATTAAAGGTGATCAATGAGATGGAAGATGCAAAAAAAAAATAAATAAATAACAGGGGAACATTAAGATAGAGGAGGCATAACATAAATGACGCTTGGACTTTTGATATGTATAAAGCACTACACAATAATTTTGTAGTTCAATTCAGATAGGGGCACTACAAAATATTTTTTTACAGCTGCACTCAGAGGGGCACTGCAAAACAAATTTAGAAGCTACATTCAGATAGGGGCACTACAAAATATTTTTTTATAGCTGCACTCATTGAGGGGCACTGCAAAATAAATTTAGAAGCTATATTCAGATAGGGGCACTACAAAATATTCTTTTAGCTTCATTCATTAGAGGGGCACTGCAAAAATAAATTTAGTAGCTACATTCAGATAGGGGCACTACAAAATATTCTTTTAGTTTCACTCATTAGAGGAGCACTGCAAATAAATTTAGTAGCTACATTCAGATAGGGGCACTACAAAATATTCTTTTAGCTTCATTCATTAGAGGGGCACTGCAAAATAAATTTAGTAGCTACATTCAGATAGGGGCACTACAAAATATTTCGGTAGCTACACTCAGAGTGGGGGGGGGGGGCACTACAAACACGCGCATTGAAATTCGTTTTTAAAAACACCTGCTTTTAAGTAGGACATGTTCCCGAAACCCTTCTCGATTTCGCACCAGCACACAGCCACATGTTCCTGGCATATCATACAGCTAGGTCCGCAGAAACTGTAACATGTAATCGCATCTCACAACGCACGTCATTTGCGATAAATCCACACAAAAAATACAAATGCGGTATTAGATTTCGGGGTTATGACTAGCTTGAAATTCCTCTTACAGTTTCCTTACAGTGGTCAGTTAACTGTGGCCCGTGTTAACATACGCACATCATGACGGAAGATATGTACCTAGCAGAACTTGTAAGTTAACCCAAATTTAGTCTTGTGTTAATTAATCTTGTGTAAAAATTGGATTTTGTATAAAAAGATATTTTGCATATTCAAAGGTCAAATATTAAAAAAAAAACAAAAAAACGAAGAACAATCGCAGGTGTATTTCATGAGTAGATATCTTAAAATAAGAATTTTTAAAGACGACATAAAACTTTACATTTTTAACTAGGTCAGGAATTTTATAATAGTTCTTCTCATTGTCCTATTTGGCATTCAAGATTTCAGTAATTGTGTAATTAGATAAAATAAATTGGGGGGGGGGAGGGGGGTTGGTGGGGGCGGGGGAGGGCAATAGGGGGGGTGGTGCAGCCTTTTTCAGAACATTCTTAACAAAGTGAAACATTTGTCTCCCCCCAAGAATGTAATTGTGTAATTAGATAAAATAAATTGGGGGGGGGGGAGGGGGGTTGGTGGTGGCGGGGGAGGGCAATAGGGGTGGTGGTGCAGCCTTTTTCAGAACATTCTTAACAAAGTGAAACATTTGTCTCCCCTCAAGAAATTCTTCGACAGAGAAACGTACGGCTTCCCTAGCAATAAGATTGTCTATGACGCAGAAGGTCGTGAACTCAAGGTTTGGTCCTACGACGGCAACCTGGTGCCACCGTTCGGTGACAGGGGACTGAAGCAGATGAGAGACCTTGAACTTCGGGATGACGACATCCTCTTGTGTGGCTACCCCAAAACAGGTGATCCTTTTGTGACATTTGAGTCTGTAAAGTTATTTTGGTCAGTACGACCCTGGTAGCCTAAGCAACTGCTCAGTCTGCTGAATGGTTAACACGGCCCTGTCCTCGCCTCTAACTCGCCTTTCACTCGCCCATCGTTTCTTTAGGCTGCCACTGGGCGTGGGAGGCCCTCAGCATGATAGCCAGGAAAGAGGCTCAGCTTTCTACAAGAGGAAAGACCTTGGGGTTCCTGGAGATCGGTCCAGGTCAGCTGATGGAAGGGCTTCCCTCACCTCGTGTCCTCAACTCTCACATGTGGTTCAACTACCTGCCCAGACAGGTGGGTATTCGTCACTAGAACCCAAAATTCAACTGACCAAGCACCTGTGTAAATTAAACATACCAAATAGATTTTTTGCAAGAAGCATATTAGTACACATGGCCAGGTTTGAGTAGCAAAGTAATTTTAAGTTCATGTCACCAACTTTATGTCAAGAAATGTATCAGCTGATATTTATCGATAAAAAATAATATCTATATAAAAAAGTCCAAATTGATCAGATAATATTTAGTAAGGTACCAACTGAGGCCACCAACCAAGCCAATATTGGCAGATCAAGCTAATTATTAATAAAATAAAATAACATTATTTTTCTCCTCTTATCCCATCAGTTATCAGCCAAGAAGACCAAGATTATCCTGACAGTGAGAAACCCCAAGGACACATCTGTCTCATATTACAACCATCATATGACTCTCAAGGCCATGTATATGTATGACGGACCTTTCAAGGACTGGTTTCAGCTTTACATGGACGGACGAGGTTAGAGGCTCATTTCTCTTTAAGTCCCACTAATCGCTCTAATTTAATCAAGGAACCAGGGAACACATGGACTGTAAAGATAAAATGAACATCCGTATGTCTGGCCGATGGGTGTGCCTGGGAAGAGCCAGTGCTGGTCTCGGTGGCTTGTTAAAATTTCATGTGGTCGTCCGTGGTGTATAATCAAACTGGCTAAATCAAATGGTGTGTCACAGGCATGTCACAATCGTGTCACAGGCGTGTTGTCAGGTTTTGCTACAAAGAACCAAACATCAATTTAAACTTTAAAAAAAAAAAAGATGTTTTATCTAATTTTATCATACAGACTACTAAACTGTGTTATAATGAAAAATGCGCTAAGACGACATTTGGTCTTGGAGTCTGCTACTCACATAATTAGCCTGTCGTATAATTATTCAGTATTCGAATTCTTTATTACCAGTGTTTGCGTGTGGTAAGATTTAAAATGATATTTAAATACCACTAGTCTATTTCATTCCATTATGCGAGACATTGAACTAGTAAAAATGTGAACACAATCCAATGTCTGTTTTCTACTCTCCCTCTCTCTATCTCTCCGCCTCTCTCTCTATCTCTTAATGTCTGACTCTCTATTATCACCAGTCTGAGTCTTTCCAGAGCAGTAAAATAGTTATTATGTAAATCTCAATTTTACAATGTAAAATAACTTCACGCATGAAGAAAAACTTCACATACCCTTTATTTGCACTCATTATTTATCACCTGTCTACGTATTTTATCTGAGGGCTAAATTTCAAAATAAATATTAGCGAACAAAGTGAATTGTGACTAGAATAAATAAATAAATAAATAAATAAATAAATAAATAAATAAATAAATAAATAAATATATATACTTACTAGTCGTTTGTACTCGTCCGAAAATGACGGTCATTAATTATTTTACAGTAAATAAAGTCGCATAATTTTAAAAGGATATAATGGCGCTTTCTAAAAATGCACCGCTGTTCCAAAAGTTGTCTCTAATGGGAACACTTAAATTATTGGTTTGCCATTTGCCAATATTGGAAGCTACTATAATGTTCTGAAAATTCGGCGACGTTTCCAAAATTCGAATCTCCAAGTCTTAGTTCAGTGAGACACTCCAGGCGCGCAACGTGAATCATGTACTACAACTTGCTTAGTCGGCTACTCGCTATTTCTTTTTCCCAGTGGATTACGGCGACTACTTTAACTATTACAAGGATTGGGACCACGTGATCAAGTCCAATCCTGACCATCCTCTACTTGTGGTGCGTTTTGAAGATATGAAAAAGGTAATAATAATACCCCCCCCCCCACCTCACTAACCCCTGAAAGAGGTAACGAAAAACAAATTTGAGGATTCAGAACTTCCTTTTTTTCCCCAGTACCAGATAAATAGTTTGATGACACCTGGGATGGCTGAAAAGAGATTTAAAAAAAAAAGTACAATGTCTGCAAAACTGGGTCAGAGAAAACTAATGCGACCAAATAATGTAAAAACAAAATAAACGACTTGTTTATTTATTGGTGGAGATGAAACTGATGCTTGACTAAAGCTCAGAAAGACGGAACTAGAATTATTTTTTTGTTGATACTATTGGATAAAGTTTTCGGGGTTCTAGAGTGTGAGTGGGCTCCGCATTAGCCACCCACCAAAACGGGTTGATTCTAATTATAAACCAATTCACATTAATATTCCTAAGAGAAAAAGTTTTTAAAAAAAAATTGATCGGAAGACAATAATTTTCGTTTTTGTTTTTTGTTAGATGATATCATTGGATTTTTTTCCAGGGAAATATGGTCGCCACCAGCGAGCTTGCCAGTCAGTTGGTTAGAGAATTAATCATTTTTTTTTATATTGACGTCAGTATTTATTATTTAGTCTGTCCAGGTATGCTTGCTTCCTTTATATTATCCTATTCTTCTTCCGATTAAATCACATATGTTTGAAACATAGAGTTAAAGCGAGTTATGAGATTTGATATAATCATGGATAGTATGTTACAGTGAGATACATACGAATTTCTCTTTGATTGGATCAGTTAAAGAATATCTTTGCATTATATCATGTAATCGTATCTTATCTAAACTTATATCATAAAAAAATATTATTTAAATGGCCTTTTCACCCCCTCCCCCCCATTTTTGCCTAACAGGATCTGCCAAGGGAGATAAGGAAAATGGCTGAATTTCTCCAGATAACTCTAGATGACCAACTCATGGAGGACATCGCCACAGCTGCGGGGTTTGACGTCATGAAACAAGCTTACCAGAACTCCAACTTTGTCACCAAGGATTTTCTGCGCAAAGGTCGAATACAGTTGTATTCTCAATGATGGCTAAAATGTCCTTATCCCACTTCAATGAAAATAAAAAAGACTTTAATCCTAATCAACTTTCAACAAATTCTACCAAAATATTCGATATTAAAAAAAGAAAGATGATTTTTTTTTATTAAGTTCATCCGTTAATTTTTCTCAGGCGGTGTAGGAGATTGGAAGAATTGGCTGACGGTGGCACAAAGTGAACGTATTGACCTCTCCACGAACATCTTAGAAGGGACTCCCTTCCAAACACCCATATATACGTTGTGAGGATCATGGAGACTTGCAGTTAAGCTGTTACCACAGGGGTGTCCTTTTTGGTGGGTAGGGGAAGGCTATAGACATTCACTAACAGATACTAATCAAAGAAAAACCCTTGGGTGCCATGGACTCCCAAAAAAAAAAACAAAACAAAAAACACTTTATGAAAGATTTACTTTGGGCGAATCGCATTCAAAAAAAAATACATGATCACATATACATTAACACATATTATGTACAAAATACCATAAGACACGTATCTAAATAAAATATTCTATCAGGCAGAGATCGCAGATCCCGTGACGTAAGTCATACTACCAATGGCATTAATTATTGGCACTGGTCCTGTGGCATTTATATACTTTAAAATAGACGACCACTTTTTATCACTTATTGATGCAATTATTTCTATCTTATTGTGGTATTATGACTTATTTATGATTTTATATCGATTATTATGATTTCATATTTATAACTATTACGACATATCTCACCTGTCTAATATTAATGGTACCTAGCTGTAACAGAGCTGAACTTCCTTTTTCCAACCCAAACGATAGCTAACACTAACTGTGCCTTTGGCTTATCGTACGGTAGCTAACCCTTACTTTTTTTATGTAACCTTTAATGTAAAATCTTTAAACTTAGCCTACTTGTTATCTTCATCTTACGTTTGTTTGTACGAAGGGATTAAGCATAGACATACATGAAAAGTAGAGTTGCACACTTCTAGAACGAAGTTTAAGCATTGGAGTTTGTGGAGAAATTGAACTCTTAAATGAGTCTGCTTTGACATGATTTCATTAATGATATGATATTTATATTTTAAACAATAATTCGGTTTTTTTTACATGTTCATTTTGAAATTTTTTTTCTTTATGACAAACAATTTTTACCCTAATCCATTGACAATTGCTCATCTAGTCTGTTTTGTAAATGTAAAAAAAAGAAATAAAATATGTGTTGTCATACTTTGAATCCGTAAATTTATAAAAGGGGTTCACGGACAGGCGACAGAGCCTTCTCCCTTCCATGACAAAGTTGACCTACGAACGTACACACAGTGGCGTAGGAAGTGGGGAGCAGGGTTACTTTAAGACAATGTGTTGGGGACGGGGGGCCTTTTAAGATTTTTTGGGTGGACAGTGCCAGCGACCAGAGGCGTAGCTAAAGGGTAGAGGGGGGCAGATTTAACCGGGCACCAAACGAGCAGGGGGGGCGCCACGGTGGAACTAAATAGATGAAAATAATTGGTGTCATAGTTGAAAAGGGGGGGGGGGGCTTAAAAATAAATCGTGCCCTATGGCACCAAACACTACAGCTACTACTCTGCTAGTGGCGAAGAAAGGGGGCGGATGGATGGTGAGGGGGGGGGGCTGTCCAGGGGTGTAACTTTTTCTTAATGTGAAAGGGAAGCATTTTCATGGGAGGGTGGGTGGGGGGGGGGGGGGGTCTGTCCAGGTGTGTAACTTTTTCTTAATGTGAAAGGGAAGCATTTTCAAATGCAGAGTTTGTATTATGAAGGGGAGCAGGGCAAAAACCTCTGCCCGTCCAGGGTGACACTAATACAGAGGCGTAGCGTGGTGGGGGCAGAGGGACAGATGTCCCCGGGCGCCAGCTAGTTAGGGGCGCCAAAATGCGCTTTGATATTTTTTTATTGATGAAAATAATGGGTTTGAGAGTTGAATAAAAAATAAAAAGGGGCGCTAAAAATGGATCTTGTCCCCGGGCGCGAATCTTGTCCCCGGGCGCCAATCTTGTCCCCGGGCGCCAATCTTGTCCCCGGGCGCCAATCTTGTCCCCGGGCGCCAACACCCTCGCTACGCCACTGCACTAATACCAGCTGCGCCACTCGGGCAGTGCATCTAGCAACGCCACAAGGGCAATGTATCTCTCTGCACCACAACTGACGATCAGGGTAATCTGTTGTCCATAAATTGAAGGCGCAGATGGCTCTTGAGTAGAAAAAAGGGAGTGGGGATGGGGTCTGGAATTATTTGAAATCAAGAGGTGGAATTTGGAATATATCCGATTTCAGTGATTCGATTAGACCTTCTGATTCGGGGTGGGGGGGGGGGTGGGCGGAGTGGGGTGTGTGTGTGTTGGGGGGGGGGTGGTGAAGGAATTTTCGTGTAGAGGGCTGCATAATGATTTTCATAGAACTATGTATTTGTAGAAAAAACAACACCACATTTTTAATAAATTAAAATGACTTGAAATGGTAGTGTATCATCACGACATCTAGTGGTTGTTGACCAAAGAGTAAACTCAAACCAGAATTGAAATGTCCCTTGCCGGATTATTACCGATAAAGAATGATAAAAGATGGGACTATTTTGTCAGTAATATCGGTGAGCACGTAAAATTGGTGAGTGATCTTAGAGTGTTCCAAGAAAGAGGTGTATGAATCTATTGTCTGAGGACACTTAAATAATTTGAACATGCATGCCAACTGTGTGTTCAAAATACAGTAGTAAAAGTCGCCCCAAAACTATACTCAAAGTGTCTTACTCTGTGTTATGATGTGTTTGTGTATATTGTTTAGGTGTATGTGTTTGTTTTCTTTGTTGATCTGCGTGTGTGTGTGTGTGTGTGTATGTGTGTGTGATTGAATGAAATACAGCTTTAGAAACAAGATGAAAAAAAAGTGTTGTAGGCTTAGGTATATCATAAATCGACTACGGCAACGCCCACTTCGCCCACTTCGCCCCCCCCAAGCGCCGGCCCTGCGAGGAAACATCCTTCAAACTGAAAAATCGGCATTACGTCCATTCAAAAAATGTGTAAGGACGTTGGTGCATTTGTGTAACCCATACAGTTTGGGAAATGGTTTTCGGAGTCTGAGATGCAAGCCGGGATAATGTTTGTGGAACTGTCTGTGTTGTCTACATGGTTCCAGATTTTTTTTTATAGTAATAAGTGGCTCTGAGGCGGAATTTTGATAGAGTACCCTTCCTCTGACAGAGTTCCTTCCCTTTTATTACCCCTTTATTTCCCTTTATAAGAGTTCTCTTCCTGTGGCAGAGTTCCTTCGGAGTTCGTTCCTTTCACAGATTTCTCTTCATTTAACAGAGTTCTTTCCCTTGACAGATTTCTCTTCATTTAACAGAGTTCCTTCCCTTGATAGAGTTCTCTTCTTTTGACAGAGTAACCTCCCAGAACCAAGTTACGTGGCGCCTTTTTTTCTTAATATCTCATCGTATTGTTTTTAAATCACCTTTTCAATAAAAAACACAAGGTCACCTCTTACGTTCACTGACGTATGAGCGAAAACATTGCTCAAGTATGATTACGTTTTCCTTTGAGGAGAGACCCATTTCGAACAAAAAAACTGCCTCACATATAATTCTTTCCCCTTCTATGGTTTCGTGGCAGCTGGACCTATTCACAGTAGACAAACGTAAGTAAGCATTCAGGACGCTTGAGTTTCTGTACGGCTAGTTTTTTGCACACGTTGTTCATTAAAACCAAAAAAAAAAAGGGTAATTTTTTTGTTATTGAACACTGACTCCATCTAATGGTGTCTGATTATACTAAACTAGAATAAACGACCCGATGTTATCGGGATAATAACGGTAGTTCTATTGCGATAATTTCTGACTGCTAGTGCAAAAACTCAACACAATCCATAACTTTACAAATATAATGATATTTACGTTTCTTACATCAATAAGTTTTGAGAAGTATTTCTCTGTTATATATATATAAAACGCCTACCCTACTCCCTTTCACGTGCTTAAACTACTTTTTCCCCCCTAAACATGACCTTCAATTACCCAGTCTAACCTATCACTACTTATATCACTTTTGTCACTAAAGAAGTTAATTGAGGGACAATTACTACGCTAGAGAAACACTTTAGATTTTCCCTCTTCGTGCCCTTGAATACAACTTTTTTTTTTCTAAAAATTGTTTAAAAAAACTAATCTTAAATTTACAACAAAAACGACATATCTGATATAAATATATTTTATATGACAGGAATTCGAAATATATTGATATCTCCATAAAAAATATAAACGTATTTTTGCCTTTTTAAAAAAAAATAAATATATATATATATATGAAACTCGTAAAACAAAAAAATTATTTTATCTAAAGAAGAATCGTGCAACCAGTTTTCACGCCTATAACAGATTTGAGTGTCTTTTTAAAACATTTAAATAGTTGATCTCATAAAAATACACAAATCTTTAATTTTTGCAAAGTAAAAACAAAATTATATTTTCATTTTCTGAAAGTAAAAAAAAAACCCTTCTCTATTTTTCAAAATTAATTTTTCAAATGTGTAAAATGATTGGGTTTTGATATACATGGGTATAGTTATATAAATGTACCCAAGATTTGTTATCACCATTGATCTTCTTAATTGGTAAACATATGTTTATTTTTAAAAAGATAATTTAACATCTCTTTTTTTTCACAAATGTAATACCCAAGGTTTTAAATATATTGTCATTCACGTTAAATGTAAATATCTTTTGTCCTATCCTAAATGTATATAACCAAGAAGTTAATTATTAATCAAAGTCATTTCCTTATTTTGAGACGTATATAGTATATTGTATTGCCTTGGGTAAAATGAAATTACCCATATTTGTAAACAGAGAATGTAACATCTCTTTTTTTCACAAATGTAATACCATAGGAGTTAACGATAATGTCATCCACGTAAAAATATACACATCTTATTTCCTACCTCCGACTGGTATTTACCCAAGAAAATTAATTATTTATCAAATTAATTCTTTTGTTTTGAGACGTATCTTGTCTTGAGAAAAAGAAGTTGTAATTCAAGGGTATGAAGAGGGGTAAATCTAAAGTGCTTGATGGTCGCATGATGTGCTAAAACAGAAAAAAAAAAAATCGCTCACAATATCGTGGTGCGACTATATGAAAAATAACATATTCAGGTGTGTAGAGAAAACATGAGATACCAATGTGTGAATTAATGAAATAACAGACTGGTTTACGAACGCGCGTATTCGAGTGAGTCAATAGATCAATTC